CAAACTTTTGTTTAAAATTTTAGTGAGGTACATTTCAACTTCTGACCATTTCTGCTGTTATTCCTTCAAACCCTTGGGCTTGTGTACCGCAGAGCTCTCTAGGTCTCTTTCTCTAATCTTTGTGTTTCAGTTGATATCACAAACTTATACTCTGCTAACTGTAGGTTAATTGATCTTTTTTTGTTTTGTTTTGTTTTTAACAGTGCTGTGGGGTATAATTTGATCTCCAATCTGATCCAAAGACTTTGGATCCCTTTGTATTGGTAATCCTTGAGGCTAGCACCTGAGGCTATATAAGCCTCTTCCCAGTCCCTTCCCCGCCCCCCTTCCTAAGGCTCTTCTCATTACATCACTCATTCCTTGATTCTTTGGTAGTTTGCTGCCTTGTGTGTTGGTTAGCTGTTGCTCTCTTGGAGCTCCTGGCCTCCTGTTAATTGCTTTCTGCTCTCTTTCATTTACGAGAGTGTCTTGAGTTTTAAACTTTCCAGTAAGGTTAGTTCATTTAGAGAGGTTTTCAGAACTGTTCATTCTGTTTTCTCCTTGGATAAAGCTCTGATCATCTGCTCCAGAGCTGGGGGCAATACAGTGGCCTGTTTCTCTAAGAGTAACACTGTTGACTCAGGAGCCTCATGGGACTGGATAGCAGCAGCCTGTGGGAGTTTTGACCCACCTCCCCTAGTTTTGAACCTCTTCACCATGAGTGACTTGATGCTTGAGCAAAATGGTTTTAGTTCAGCCTGCTCTGCTTAGGGTACAACTTTCCACCTGCCATAGGGTCTGAGTGAAGAGAGAGAGAGAGCTGCTCTTACGTGGAAGACAGCCTGTGTGCAGAATGGAGATAGGCCAGATGAGAAAAGCTTACAACACTACACATGCTACCAAGCCACCACATTCCTTGCATTCTTTGACCTGGAGCTTTAGGAGATAGGAGAGACACTTATCTCCCAACTTCAAATAGAAAGGAGTGTGTCAGAGCTCCAATGCCATAGGTTATCACTATTCCTAGGTGATGTATTCAGAAGACATTTCAAAATAGTTATTACTAAATTACACACCTCCCTGAAGTAAAATTTTTTTGTAGTTGCAAGAGTATATATTTTGTGGAAAAGCTGTGGTGTGCGTGGTGTGTGTGTGCGTGTGTGCATGCATGTGTGTGTGCGTGCGTGTGTGTGTGTGTGTGTGTGTCTGGTCCTGGGGCTTGAACTCAGGGCCTTGTGCTTTTTCAGATAAGGCTGATGCTCTACTATTTGAGCCACATCTCCATTTCTGGCTTTTTGTTAGTTAATTGGAGATTTAAGAGATCTATAGGCTTTTCTGCCTGGATTGGCTTCTGTGATCCTCAGGTGTTAGCCTACGTGAGTGGCTCAGGCATGAGCCACAAGTGCCCAGCAAAAAAGCATTTAATAGACAAAAATGCGAGTTTAAACAGTATAAATACTTCTTAGAAATCTATACTCTTTCTAGTTTTGAATAAGAGACTATTCGCCTGTCTAAATTCACTGGTTCCCTCGGTGGTGTCCTTGATGAAAGTAGTCATGCTGATCTGGAGTGGTGAGGTTAGCCACTGCGCTGCCCTCTGCAGGGCTGCCTTGTGTGGTTGGGCTGTGCACAAGTGAGTGGGGTGAGAACCTGGCTGCCTTGTCATGGTTAATACAGACCTCAGGCAAAAAGGAATTTTGCAGGCTTATAGATTTCTTGGCCATTAAGGAAACTAGTGACAGCTGCTTTAGACAACTTCTTTTGATCACAGGATTTAAAACAAAAAGACCCAAACTGCAAAGTTTCTAATATAAAGCATTTAATGTAAATTTACACTAACAAGGAACAATTTAGTGTAAATAAGCAATATGAGGAACCAGGTAAATAGAGGTTGTAAAGCAAAAGGGCAGCAGTGTGGCAGCCTACAGGTGACAACTGCAGGGAGCAACCCTTCCTCTATCACTAGAGAAACAGAGTAATCATTCACCATGGCCAAAACACTGTTTGCATCTGGGCTCGGAAACTACCAGGAATGGCATACTGCCTAGCTGTGGATTGATCCTGCAGACTTTCAGAGCAGGGTACTTGCGGGAGTTGTAGTATCCCTGTAGATGGCTCTGTCTAGTCCATACTAATACTTAAAGGTAATGGCTGCAGAGCACTAATAACAGGGAAACAAGCTATTGCTAGGAAGACAGCAAATAATCTGTAAGGAGAAAGTGCTGTTTTATCCTTCCTGCTTTCTATCCTTCTTTCCTCTCCCATTATTCCTACTGGTGGTTTTTGAAGCCAACAAAGAAAAGATTGTTTTGCTGAGTTCACACCCCAGCATTATTACAGAGAATATGCAAGGATAAATTTATAGTTTATAGTTCAGAAAAAAAATAGGCTAATACCTAGCAACTTCAGGGCAGAACAAAACCCCTTGAAGTAAGTCAGGTGTGTACAAAGAATTTTGAGTATGATAAAAGCATTCCAACTCCAGAGGAGAGAGAATTGATCAATAAATAGCTTTGAGGTTATTATTTGTTTTGCTTTCTTGGGTTTTGTGTTTTGTTTACAAAACTTGAATTTCCAGATGATTAGAGGTTAATGTCAAGAGTTAGAACTGTAAAACTAACTAGAAGCAGATGTAGATGAACATTACGTGGTATCATAGGAGAGCATTTTAAAGAATGAATGCAAAGATGGAACTCAACAATGACGAAACCGTTCATATTTTACATTAATGTAGGTGTGTTAAAATGTAATACTGTGGAAAATATTTGTAAAATATAGGGAAGATTAATATCTTCGTGTACACAGGGTTTTTCTGCTTACTAAAAGTCTGGAAAGGAAAAAGCATATAAAGGATGTGTGGGCACAAAAAAACACATGTTGTATCTTATGGTGCATGCCTATAATCCTAGCTATTTGGGAGGCAGAGGTGTAGTAGATTGAAATTGAATGTATCTTTAGCCAAAGCAAAGGATATTACTAAACTAGAAAGACAGCCAAGAGACTGGGAAAAGATTTTTACCAGCAATACATCAGACAAAGGCCTAAATATCCAATACATACAAGGAGCTCAAGAAACTAACCCTTCCCAAGCCTAATAAACCAATCTAAATAGGCAAGGGAGCTAAGGAGAGACTTCTTAGAAGAAGAGGTGTAATTATGACAAAGAAATGCATGAGGAAATGCTCAACATGCCTGGCCACAAAGGAAATGCAAATCAAAACAACTGTGAAAGTCCTAACTTACCCCAGTTAGATTAGCCAACCTTGTGAATTCAAACAACAAACGTTGGCAGGTATGTCGGGGAAAAGGAACCTTACTGCACTTTTGGTGGTAATACAGCAGTCTGGAGATTCCCCCAAAAACTAAACATAGATCTTCCCTATGACCCAGCCATACCACTCCTGGGTGTCCACCTTCAACATCATGAGCCAGGGTATGATAAGGACACCTGGGCTGAGATGTGGCTTAGTGGTAGAGTGCTTGCCTATCATGTATGAAGCCCTGGGTTCAATTCCTCAGTACCACATAAACTGTAAGTGGTGTCGTGGCTCAAATGATAGCGTGGCTATGAGCAAAAGAAGCTCAGGGACAGTGCCCAGGTCCTGAATTCAAGCCCCAGGACTGGCCAAGAAAAAAAAAAATCACCTGCACATCCATGTTCATTGCTGCATTATTCACAATAGCCAAGATGTGGAAACAGCCCAGATGCCCGACAATAGATGAGTGTATTAAAAAATTGTGATACCTAGCTGGCCACACCAGTGCCTTATGTCTGTAATACTAGCTACTCAGAAGGCTGAGATCTGAGGATCGCATTTCAAAGCCAGCATGGGCAGAAAAGCTCATGAGACTCTTAAATAAACCACTCAGAAAAAATTGGATTTGGCACTGTGGCTCAAGTGGTAGGGCGCCCAGGTCTGAGTTCAAGCCCCAGGATGGGTGGCGTGGAGGTAGGGGGGAATGTGGTACCTATACACAATGGAATTTTATACAGCTATTAGAACAAAATAATGTCATTTGCAGTGAAATGGATGGAACTAGAACAAATCATATTAAGTGAGGTTAGCCAAGCTCAAAGAGAACTCTCTGATATATGGAAATTAGATTTAAAATACACTGGTATATGATAAATTATAAAGGATTCTAGATGCAGTGAGACCAAAGTACTCCTAGGAGAGAAACACAAAAGCACAATGCCTGTGTGACTCTTTATATAAAATTATATATATATATACATAATATATATGTGTGTGTATATCAAAACGGCCTCTAAGATGGAAACGAGATCTCTTTTTTTCTTTTACTTATTTTTGTTTAATTTTTATTTTTTGATGACTCTTCTTTATGGTGTGTTCATGTGTATATATTTGGGAGGGTGGGGCATCAGGTAGAGAACTCAAGGGAAAAAAGGTGAAAAAGTGCATCAGGGGAGTTCACTGGACCCTGATGAAATGAATTATACAATTTGGGGGTAGAGATGGCAGGGAGGAACTGGGAGAGAGTAAGGGAACAAAAGAAACTGTACAAAAGAAAATGTACTCGTTACTTGACTCACGTACATCACCTGCTGTACATCATCTTTATAATAATAAAGTAAACTTTAAAAAAAAGACAGCCAGAGCAAAAGTTAGTGTATGACTGTCTCTGAAAAATGAACCAAAAGCCAAAAAAGGGGCATGATTTAAGTGCTGGAGTGCTTATCTTGCTAACAAGTGCAAAGGCCTAAGGTAAATCTCCCAGACCATAAAAATAGTAAAAGAAGATAATATATATAACCAATTAAATAATACCAGTTTTGATTAAGAATTTTTGGAAAATAGTATGCTAGTGGTAATGAAAGTATGGATTGGGATCTTTCTTAGAGAGATTTTACCAGTATGTGTCAAAATGCTTACAATTAATCTCTTTGAAAAGAATGTTAGTAGGTAAGATTTTTAAATTGCTAGCCATTGCTTGTGTCTTAAGGATTTTTCTGTGTTATACCAAGTATTACAGAAAAATGTTTATATTTATTTTTATAGGTGCACCTCCATTCTTACCAGAATCATTTGACCGAATTCTCCTTGATGCACCCTGCAGTGGAATGGGACAGAGGCCTAATATGGCTTGTACTTGGACTTTGAAAGAAGTGACATCATATCAACCACTGCAGCGGAAACTCTTTACTGTGGTAAGTAATTACCTTTTGCTGTGAGCAAAGTTGACCTTTGCTAGTTCTATGTTCATATTCCACTGAAAGCAGCATTTATAATAGGTTTATAACAGTGTTTATAACACAGGGGTCCCAAGGTGGAATCAATCCAAGAATCCATTGACAAATAAGTGGATAAGCAGAATATAGTTATGTCCAGACATGAATATTCAGTCTTAAAAAAATACATTATTGCTACAGTATATAAACTTTGAAGACATGATGCTAAATACAGTTATCTAGAGAAGTTTTATGAATCCACATAAAATAGGTAACTAGAGTAGGTAAATTAATAAAGACAAAATTAGATCACAGGAAAAGATAGAAGAACAGGGAGGTAATATTTAGTAGTTTCTGAGTGAGATGACGAAAGGTTGCTAGAAATAATAATCGCTGTCATTGAATTGTACAGATAAAGTGATAAAATAGTAAATTTTGTGTTATGCATATTTCATTACACACAAAAATAAGACTGAGACTATCTGAGGATTTTGTTTTAGTCTTATAGGACATAGATAGTTTAATTATGTAGCCCAGTTTGGCCTTGAACTCGAAATCCTCCTGTCTCAGCCTCCTGAATATCAGAATTATAGGCCTGTGCCATTATACCTGGTCCTGGTTTTAAATGTAAGGTACTTTCTTCTATGTTAAATCACTCTTTAAATAATACAAGCAACAGTAGAACTTTTTCACAAGACATTTAACAAATTCCAAATATTGTGCTCTGTCTTCAAAAAGTGAGTTGTTCATGTACAGTTTCTAATTTTTTAAAAATAATTTTATGCTTAACTTACTTTTTTTTGATGTTGTTGATCATAGGGCTTGAACTCAGAGACTAGCTTTTGCGCTCAAGGCCAGCACTTTTCCACTTTGAGTTCCAGTGCCACTTCTGGTTTTTGGGTGGTTAATTGGAGATTAGAGTCTCATGGACTTTCCTGCTTATGCTGGCTTTGAACCATGAGCATCTAGGATTATAGCTATAATCCTAGATTTGGCTCTAATTATGGCTATAATTACTTTATAAGTTTTGGGAGACATTTTAGGTACTATACTAGGAGTAGGAAGTCTAATAATAGAGGCAAAAATATTAAAAATGGGAAGTGATAGTTTCTAATGCAAATGTAGGAGGACACTTGACAAATTTACTCAATCTCCAGTATATTTCAGAAGTTTAGGTAGAACATTTGAGGATTTCTGTCAGTCTTGAACAATAACTGTATTTTAGAATTTGTATAGCACTCCTAGCACAGGAGGATCACAAGTTGAAGCCAGTCTGAACTATATAAGACCTTATCTAGAAAACAAAAAGTTTTTGTGCTTTTATTCTAGAGTTTCTATTTTAACTAGGGAGAGATATAAACTAGTGTATTACAAGGCAGTAGTACTATGAAGTAAGTTAAAGCAGAGAAAAGGGATTATTAAGAGTTCTGGTTTAGACAACTTAGGATTGTCCATGAGGTAGTTGGGAGTGCATTACTGAAATGGTGACATCCATTCAAGGAGAGGATTGTGAAGGAGCAAGCAATGCAGAGCAGTGGGACCTCATCCCAAGCTGGTACAATATCCTGAGGGGGCTTAAGCCTTGCATGTTCCAAGAGCTGAGGGGGCCCGAGTTGCTAAAGTAGAATGAGCAAAGGGAGAGAGGTGTTGAGAGGGGGCAGAGTAACACAACTTATCTATGTAGAGCCTTGAAGTCTTTTCCAAGGACTTAGGCTTTGATTCTTTTTGTGAAGGAGGGCCTTTAAAGGATACAAAGCTGAGAAGTAACACTATTAATCTGACTGCCATAATCAGACTAGATGATGGGAGGCCTGGGAAATAAGCAGGTAGATTTAACGGTTGTAGTAATTGAGGTAAAAACAAAAACCCAAAAAACAAAAAAAAACCCAAAGTGGCCTGGGCCACAGAAGCAGTAGAAGGAATGAGAAATATCCAGAGCCAGTAGTGCTGACAGGTGGATGAGGGGAGTGTGACAGATACAGAAGTAAAAGGATATTCTAAGGTTTGGGCATCTGGAAGGATAGGAAGACTATTACATTAGTTGTGGAGGAAAGACAAGTGTTGTTTTTTGGACATTTCAGTTGTCATAGTAGAAATGTTAAGAAGGCATCTGATTCAGAAAGGGAATTTGGTCTAAAACTAAGTTTTGTGAGTTTCCAGTATAAAGGATAATATCTAAAGGCATAGAACTTAAAGGTAGTATTAGAGTCTTGGTCTAATGAAATCATCTAGTCTGGAATGTGAACTAATTGCACTCTCATGAGTAAATCATTATTTTATTTCTCCAAATACTTGAAAGGTCTTTTCAGATATTTTTTTTAGTCTTGAGGCATGCATGGTCTTGATCATATCTTTCTTTAGGCAGTTCAGCTGCTGAAACCAGGTGGTGTGCTGGTTTATAGCACATGCACTATAACGCTGGCAGAAAATGAAGAGCAAGTTGCCTGGGCCCTTAAAACATACCCATGCCTTCAGCTTCAACCCCAGGTAAGACTAGCTCTGTTCTTTCTAATTTGGTAAATCACAAACTGAATTGTCATACATATAGGGTGCTACTTGAAGAAATCTGTAAAACTTCTGAAAGACTAACAAATTTCTCTGATTAGCTACATTTTAAACTGCCCATAAGAAGTTTGTTCACATGACAAGGTTTCCCCCTTTGCATTTTTCATTATGTGAAAATGGCAGAGCTTGTTATATATTCTGCCTTTGTGTTTATTCTGTATCTACCTATCTTACATGTTACTTAGTACTTTGTTTCTTAAAAAGTCCTTCTCTACCCTGTTTATTTTTCTGATAAGGAAAAAGTGAGTATCTATCTCAGACCTTAAAAACTGGGATATCAAAAGAGCAAGAACAAAATATGGTTCAGAGCTATTACTTACATAAAATATGTAACATTTAAAAAGCTTTCTTTTAATTTTTTTTACATAGTACTAGTTATGTTTATTGTTAGATTATGTTCAAATCTGTAATTAAGTTCACATTCAGAAATGTTTAACATTTAACTTGGACTCACGTACAATATTAGTAGGAAACTTGAATATGTAAATTAATCCAGAAATAGCATCTAAACTCAGAAATTAAGACAACTACATTGTAATGAAAGACTTCAGAATTCACATGGAATTTGTACATAAAAGAAATGGAGGGGCTGGGAAGGTGGCTCAGTGGTAGAGCGCTTGCCTTGCATGCCTGAGGCCCTGGGTTCGATTCCTTAGCACCACATAAGCAAAAAGAAAAAAGCTGGAAGTGGCACTGTGGCTCAAGTGGTAGAGTGCTAGCCTTGAGCTGAAGAGCTGAGGGACAGTGCCCAGGCCCAGAGTTCAGGCCCCACCACAGGACCCCTCCCCCCCACACACACAAAAAAAGAAAGAAATGGAATGTTTCCCCTTCAGTCTCATGGTATATGTTAAAATCCTGTCTTCATTAATAACTGAAGTTATCTGTGTAATGGTGACTTAAACTAGGATTATAGATCTTCTACTGTAGTAATATATAAGAATCCCTGAAATATTTGATTGTATACTCCTCTAAGCTAATTGATGCATCCTTAATTAATATACCCATTTATAATATTCTTAACATTCTGTTTACCACTATGTACCAGGCAGGGTACCACCACCTTTATTTAAGATTCAGAATTGAGAATTTTATCTTTTACATAGGAAGAAATGGAGTAAAATGAAATTGCTGTTTAAGCTCACAAGCTAAAAATGTGTGAATTTGTTTTAATTCATTTGTTTCTTACTCCAAAGTTTAGGCCTTTTGTAATATCACACTCAGGGCATAATCAGGTGACTACATATTCCTGTTTTCCCACTGCCCAAATAATGCTGTGTACATTCCACAAAAGTAAAAGGTATTTTTCTGATATAATAGGAACACCCCAATTTGTGTTTTGAGTTAGATGTGCCCAGCCCCTTACTGATACCATTATTCACTTTCTCCCAACAGGAACCACAGGTAGGAGGAGAAGGAATGGTGGGAGCCGGCCTGTCACTAGAACAACTGAGACATCTGCAGCGATTTGATCCATCTGTTGTGCCATTACAGGACATTGACATTGATTCCCTCAGAGATGCCAAAACAGAGGACATGATCCGACTTGCAAATAAGGATTGTATAGGCTTTTTCATTGCAAAATTTGTAAAATGTAGAAGTACATTAGAGAAGAATCCTCAGAAGTGAAAATTCCATACTTACTTGTTCTTAAATGAAAGTATTTTCAGACCAACTAAATGTAACGGTTGCTAATGAAACAAAATTTCTAGAAATTTCACTAGGGGTCAGAGAGAGAGAGAGAGAGAGAGTGTGTGTGTATGTGTGGCCAGTGGTGGGGGCTGCTTTTGCTAAGAAATTGTATCCTTGGTTTATAAACTTTTTTTCCAGTATGGGCACTAGATTTAAAGGAGCTGCCTATGGATGTCCAAAACATTTTCAGCTGGTATATTGTTTTGGTTTACAAAGTCTTTTAGTATACCAAGTCTTCAATATATTAGTCTTTTTAAACAATTGTTTGTCTTAATAATAAAATTAGTAGTCATTGTGGTTACAGAAAAATGTTTTGTTTCCAAGTTCCTAAAAACTTTCTAAAATTCCAGGAAATGGGAATTCTATCATTTACCATGGCAATAATTGAGATGTAAGTACTTTGTTAATTGATTCTGCTTATAAATTGGTACAGCCTTCTTTATTTTTGTGTTGTGAAATGAGTACAGTCTCTCCCATAACTGTGTTCAGGAGCTAGATATTTATATCAATTTACAAAAAACGTTTAAAGTCAGAAATTAATAGGACATTGTGTAAATGGTGATGGGTCATTCTTGCTTTTTGTTTCTGATACTGTATAGCTTGATTAATAACCAGGATTGGGGCTTCTTAGCAATACTTCCTGTGACATTATAGAACTATACCAGTCCTTGAAAACTTCAGTTCTACTGGCATAGCCCTCTTTTAAATGAAGTTAAACCTCTTTTAAAAGTTTTAACTTAAAAAATGAGTATTACTTTGTAGATAAAAATATGTGAATGAGAATATTCCTTTTATCTTTTGTCGGAGGATGTGTTATCCAAGTTACTTGAATGTACCTGGTGAGAATGAGAAAAACAGCCATGTTACCAAAGAACTGGTCTATCTTTCCCTGCCGGTCCACAGCATGTTCTCCTAGTGAACAGAAATCATAGAACATCACCTTCAGACATCTATGTCTGTGATAGAGTAAGACAATAATAACTATCTCCTCAAATCTGAACTCAGAGGAAATCAGAGTATCGTTCAGGTTACAAAAGTGACCATATAGTCCCCTTGTGATGGCCAGTGTACATGTCAGCCTTTAAAAAACAGATTATGACCTTAGCTTTCATTCTAAATGCTTTTTAGATAAGGTATATTAAAATATCTAGAACCCAGGCATAGTTGAAAGTCTGTTTCATGTCTTAAACATATCAGTGTGTTTTGTTAGCTTTCATTCTATAATCACCCAAAAGTTACTGGATATTGGGTAAATGTAATAGGCAATTGGAAAACAATTACCTAGTAGTTTTTCTTTACCTCATAGGTTTCCATTAGGAATTTTTCATAGATAATTATTCCTAATGATAAAAAGGTTCCTGGGATAAGGTAAGATGGTCTGTTGCTTGACAGACTCTCTTGAGTACCATCTGTATCCTCCTAGTACTCCAGTCTGTTTCTCTTATGGCTCTCAACAAGCTGGAATCCATTTTACTAATTATCCCTCCTCAGCACCACACTTGGGGAACATCGTGGATCTAGGATCACTTCTCAGAGCAAATACTCAATATGTATTTCTTAAATGAGAGAAAAATTTCACATTTTCTAGTTTCAAATACACAACTCCTTACATCCTTCATTCTGCCCTGTGTCTCGATGTCATGTCCTTAGCATACCACCTCCAAATTTACATGTATTTTAAGAAATTCTCTAAAGTCTGTTTTCTTCTTGTACTTTCTGCAAAATCTAGTGTGCTAAGTTGGGATCAAATTATACAAAAGCAGCCTAGCAACAAATGTGTGCAATTTTTTTTTTTCTCTTTTGCTAGGTCGTGGGGTTTGAATTCTGGGCCTGGGCACTGTCCCTGAACTCTGTAGCTCAAGGCAAGTGCTCTACCACTTAAGCCACAGTACGACTTCTGGTTTTCTGGTGGTTAATTGGAGATGAGTCTTCTGGACTTTCCTGCCCTGGCTGGCTTTGAATGTGATCCTCAGATCTCAGCCTCCTGAGCAGCTAGGGTTACAGGCATGAGCCACCACCAATGCCTAGCACAATGTATATTTTTGACTAACATCAATAAAAACAATGCCAGCAAAACTGAAGAAAAATATTTGCATATTTGAAACTGGACAAAGAACATGGATAAAATTTTTCTTTTAGTGTGTTTCTTCAGTTCAGAAATTAATTAGAACATAAAATGTTCTTGAGGGACATAAAAATATAAGAAAAAAGTCATGGAAATAGGGAGTACAGATGATTCTATAAAAACCAAAGGTATTTAAACCCCCAACAGTGAGTTAATTTTACTTCAAAGCTCTGTCACATTTTAAATAGAAATATAAAGTACCAATATTTAAAAGTACACTTTGGCAGAAATGAAACTTACCCAGAACCATCAAGTTACTTTTCTAATAATGTGACTGTAATAAAATCACTATTTTGAAAACTACTAGAAGCACATCAGTAAGCAAAAGGTTAAATTTCTCATTAGATCTTAATTTTAAAAATAAAGACTAAGCTTCCAAATATGAATAAAACGCTGTGCCTCTTAACTCAAAGTGAGGGAGATTATTCTGCTGTATCTTGTTAAAATCTTTTCCTTACCTTGAGCTGTTTCTTTTAATACAGATAGATGGAGTACTAAAGGAATATGGAGTCATAGTCATTGCCCTAGAGAAGATGCTCCACTCCACAAAGGTAAGTGGTGGTCAATGGGTTACACATTCTCAACTACAAGAACCATTCCTAAAATGGCAATTAATACTACTAATAAACAGTGCAGAAGCCAGCTCTTTATTTGTTTTATATGAATGACTTAAAACCAGGCTTTTTAAACAGTTCAGTGTAGCTGACAGTGATGGTTTAACAGGAATGCATAGCAGACCATGTTAAAAATGTGGCATTGTTCCACAGTACAACACATCTAAGACATCCTACATGTAGCAGCACCTTTTGGTAACAGTAACTTAATGAGCAGTAGAGAAAGGAAAAACTGAAATGAGTATGACAAAAACCATAAAACTATTAAGTACATTTCCAGCATTTCCTAGGTTGACTACAAAAGTCATGATTCTACAACGGAGTAGGCTAAGATCAAGCCTTTGCTGTGTGAAAAGACTAGTTTTACATTCCTTGAGTCAGTAAATCATCCTAGGGATGATTTCATTTATAGATTCACTGCAGACTGTTTACACATACCCCCACAGTTACAGCTTTCACATAGGAAGGTATTAAATGAAATCCTTCAGTGTAGTTGATTTGTGCTACCCTACTGTAAAGTGAGAAACTGAGAATCAGGACCTAAATTTAAAAGATGGGCTCCTAATTAACACTATTCTTTGAAAGGGCTTAGTGAGGGCAGCAAGTTAGGTAAATAGCAGTTAATACTAAAAGAATTCAGTTAGGATGAAATAACATGTAGGTAAGGATTAGATTGGCGGTCATCTTGATACAATGGAAGCTTATCATAAATAATATATAAAAAAACTTTAAATGGAATATGGTTTCCCAATGATCCTATGACTTTTTTTTTTTTTTTTTTTGTCATGGGGCTTGAACTCAGGGCCTAGGCACTGCCCCTGAGCTCTTTTGCTCAAGGCTTGTACTCTACCACTTGAGCCACAGTGCCACTTCCAGTTTTCTGGTGGTTAACTAGCGATAAGAATTGCAACAGACTTTCCTACTCAGGCTGATTTGAACCACGATCTTCAGATCTCAGCCTCCTGAGTAGCTATGGTTACAGGCATGAGTCACTGGGGTCTGGCTTCTGTAAATTCTTAGAAATAGTACAGAGCTAATTAACAGGTTGATTAAATCACTACGAAGTTACTCATTTTAAAAACTTGTTTTCTTGGACATAATGGAAATAATTGTAAAACAGTTTTACTTATAAACTTGCAAGAATATTTGGCAAGAACCTGGAATAATGGGGAAGCAAAACAAAAGATAGGTTATCATAACTGCTGACATTTAATACATATATCTGAAGTTAGGTATTTTCTGGGACATGCACACTTAATACTGTCTTACCTATCCAGTCATAACTGGACACTTAGACATAGAAAAGAAAATTTAGCCTCAATACAGCAAAATTGCAAGCTTCCAGCAGTGTAATCAAGAATGGAGATAGTGTCTTCTAGGTTCTCCTTTATAGGTGTCTCAAATAGGAAAGTATTCTTAACGTTTACTTCAAGTCACCCCTTTTTGCCCTGATAACTTCTGAAAAGCAGAAACTTTGGTTATAAGAAGCACTTATGGGTTCTGACAGACAGGGAAGTTGTTCACATTGGTGGTGGGGTGGAACAGGAGGTGACTGGGAGATAAACAACAGGAACAATAGGCAAGGTTAGAAGATGAAATGGGAGAAGTTATAAAAATTTATTTTCCTATGAAATAATTCCACAAGCTGTGTAAACAGTTCTTACTAAAACAGATACTCTAACACACAAAGATTGTACATTTCCAGTGAAACACTCACAGTACAAGATGCCTGCATTTTTACTCTCTACGAGCAAACACAAGGAGCCGGCAGATGAATGCTTTTCCTAGTTACCTTTGGCAGCAAGCTTTCCTCACAGTCCCCGGCTCTGAAAGGGTTATTAAAGCCACATAGAGCACAATACAAAGCTAGGTGGGCAGAATTCCAGACATCAGTCACTAGTTTCTTCATCCGTCATCAGCATTCTACTTCACCTGAGTTACTCACACACACTCTTGCATCCAGACACACACGTGCACACAGCGGGTTCCGGCTTGTATACTCCAGTGCAGTGACTATCACAGACACTAGCTACTAAGAATGTGTTTGTCACAATCAGTGTGGACTCTATAAAGTAGAACAATCTCTGGAGTTTGGTTATATTTACCATAATTTATGGTTAAAATTATAAGGATAACATTCGAAATCAAACCTGTTCAAGTCAAGCAATCACACGTATTTACAGTATGTACAGACATTAGAATGGGGTAAGTAGATGTTTAGACAATGTTAATACAAATTTCCTGAATGTGGACATTTCTCGTCCCTGTAATTCATAAAGCAAATCTGCTGACTTGGCATTAAGACCCTAAAATAGTGTGATCAAACTGATATATATATTATATATAATTATATAGAATAAGGTGTTTGCAGAAATAACATTTACAAACTGTCTATACAGTACACAGTACTAGTACATAGAAAATAGATTCTAACTTTATGATCCCCTTGTGTAAGGCAAGACTGAATCTGTCCCCAAATTTAGTCAGCCAGAGGTACAAGCAAGAAACAGTGGTCCATGAATGAATGGATATGCCAGTCAGGTTTCTGGGTATTAAAATGTGATGAAACAAGAAATTTCCACTTTTTTTTTCTGGTTACATTTCTTAATACCATTAACATCGTCTGGTTGGCAGCTATCCAAGACCACAGTAACTGCATCTGTACCAAGCCAATTGGTATAGCACTTACAAAAGAAAAGAATGTATATTAATACTCTTATTTCATGCTATTGCCACTTATGCAACAGCAATAGAAAATATACAAGACAGATCATATATGATTGTAATTAAGACCCCAAAGGTTTTGAGGCTGCTGTTATACAAGACTCGGGGAGAAAGGAAAAACACAAAAGGGTAAGAAGTCATTGGCGGATGTAAACATCCCTGTTCCACTCCCCAGCATCGTTCCGCTTTTTGGATATTACGTCTCCATCCCTGTCATAGTAGCGATCCTTGGATTTGTGACGGCTCCGTTGTTTGTTGCACTCATTGTGGTCCTGCTCTCGATCCACGTCCCTTGAACGATGCCGAGGCTCCCTGTGTCTGTGGTCACTGCTTCCATGGGTCTCATCCTTGTGGTTATGGTCACGGTGTGAAGCATAGTGGTCCACATGTTCATGGGAATAATCTTCCTTTGGCTCCACATAGGCAGAGTCTCGACTCTCCTGTGTTTCAGAGTCAAATGTCTCCTGCCTGGAGAGGCCTCGACTTGTGCCACTGCGATGGTTGTGGTGTGGGGCTGAGGAAGAACGGTGCTGGGATTTCTTGACAGGTTCCAGGGAGGGTTCTTCTTCCACTTGGGAAGTAGAACGTGCAGGAGCAGAACGATCCATCCTCTGATCACCTTGAGAACCCTGGCAGCAAGTGGAATACACATGCATGTTGACTAAGGTCAGTGTATAAAGAACTAAGAGGTGGGATTTGACTTCGAACAGCCTGCTATCTTAAAGATCATGCAGTTGGTGAGGTATAAAAGTCTGTTTACAGCCTGTTTGATTTAGTGTTTTGTTTTTCCAGAGCTGAGGATTGAACTCAGGACCTTTGACTTACCAGGCAAGTGCTTTTCCACTAAGCTAAATCCCCAGCCCCATCAGTGTTTTTTTGTTTTTTTTTTAACAGCTACACAACTCACACCAAAGTTGGTTTTATTTTGGAGAGCATTAGATAGTCTGAGTTTTGACCCCAGTGAATCGCCTCAGGTTTTTCCGCCCCCCGCCCCCCGCCCCATGGAGAGCATGAAAAAGAACTGTACTTACCTGTGAGTTAGAGGCTCGGGTGGGGCTAATAGGCAGAGTTGAAGTGGCTAAAGTACGGCTAAGGAGAGGGTTGGGGAGGCTGCAGCTGGGAGGGTGGGTAGCCTTCCAGTAGGCCTCTAGATAGTCTGCAAGGTGCTCACAAGCATCCTCAAGCTGGTTCTCATCCAAGATCACGTCAAATGACTCCTGCTGAGGCAAACATTACAGACAGCATACTTATACCAGTCAGAACTGAGTTCCCATTGTACTGCCCCAATCTCATATGAGAAAGGAGGAGCTGGTAAGCTGTAGCTCTGTGTATTTGCTCCTGTTATGTGTGGTGCTGAGTCCTTTTGCAGACCATCTTGGTTGTTAATTTATCACTGAATGGTTAACCACACAGTACAGGGGGTAATAGAGTGCGAAGGATATGATATTGTAGAAAAGTTACCAATAAGTGATACTATGGCTAAGGATAAAAATCTAAACAGTTTGCTGGGTGGCTCATGCCTGTAATCAGCTACTCAGGAGGCAGAGATTTGAAGATTGCTGTTTCAAGCGAGCCCTAGAAAGAAAGTCCATGAGACTTTTACTTCCAATTAACAACTCAAAAAAGCCAGAAGTGGTATAGTGATAGCCTGGAGCAGAAAAGCTCAGGGACAGTACCCTGGTTCTGCACCAAAAAAAATTTTGGGAGAAGCATCTTGATACAACGACGGCAAAAAGCCTAATTTAAATGATTGAGGAAAGACTAGCACATAAAATGTAGCTGAAAATATTAACATTATGACCTGGTCAAAATTTTATGCCCCTCTTAGTTTTTAAAATAAGTAAACCAAATTTAAAAATCACTATAATAGCTATACCAGAAAACACCAGAAGATATCTGTAGTCTCAAGATATAATATGTGAAGTATAGATTAGTGTCAATGTGTTCAGAGCTAAAGATCTGATTAACTTATAGTTTAAAAACTGTTTTACATGGGGGTGGGAAGGTGGCTCAGTGGTAGAGTGCTTGCCTTGCATGCTTGAGGCCCGGGGTTCGATTCCTCAGCACCACATAAGCAAAAAGAAAAAAGCCAGAAGTGGCGCTGTGGCTCAAGTGGTAGAGCGCTAGCCTTGAGCTGAAGAGCGGCCCGGGGTTCGATTCCTCAGCACCACATAAGCAAAAAGAAAAAAGCCAGAAGTGGCGCTGTGGCTCAAGTGGTAGAGCGCTAGCCTTGAGCTGAAGAGCTGAGGAACAGCACCCAGGCCCAGAGTTCAGGCCCCACGACTGGACCCAAAAAAAACCCAAAAACTGTTTTACATGATCTCAAATCAGTTTCTCAGACAGGTGCTGGGAACAGACAACTTGCTCCCTGTAGTCAGAAGTGAATGAATATTCCAACCCTAAAGATTTACAATTTACATATATTTGGACCCACAATCTCATATTAAAGCACAAGGATATATACAGGCTGCTTGAAGGAGATGATCACTGGCTGGTACATACTTAGCACACATCGTGGAAAAGTCAAGTTTTACTTTTTACAGTATCACTATAAGACTATTCTCTCTCCTGAGAGGCATTTAACTATTTCATTTTTTATTCTGATCTCTTCAAGCAGATCTACTCTAGGGAGAGAACTTACTGGAGGACACTGAGCCAGTTTATCAGCTGCCACCATCTGGACATTTAAGTGTTTAGCTTGAGATTTCCCTCGAGATTTTATTAATCTTTGCAAGACCTGTAAAAGAACAGAAGAGTATCTATACTCAGGTAAAGTACAAGATACATTACTAATTCCTGAATTGGGGAGCTTTTTTGTCAGTCATGGGACTTGAACTCTGGGCTTAGGCGTTGGTGCTGAGCTCTTCAGCTCAAGGCTAGCACTCTACACTTCAGCCACAGTGCCTCTGGTGGTTATTTGGAGATAAGAGTCTCATGAACTTTCCTGCCAGGGCTGGCTTTGAACCTCTATCCTCAGATCTCAGCATCCTCAATAGGTAGGATTACAGGTGTGAGCCACTGGCACACTGGGCTGTTGGGAAGCTTTTTTTTTTTTTTTTTAAATAGCTCAAGTCGTTTATGGTAGATTGTTATAAATATCAAAAGACTATACACAAAGTTGACATAGTAACAAGTCTGTTGCAAGCTTTAAACACTAGCAGAGAACTTAGCTAGGCTAACAGTTTTCAATCTTGTTATCTCATGACTTCAATATTTCCAACATGATCATACTGGGAACTTAATCCATTCAAAAATTGTGTTACATATTAACATCAAAGACTATTCTCTTTTTCAGTTTGCTACAGTGGTCTGTTTTGGCTGAAGTAAACAAAACCAATACGCCTATCTGTTGCTGAGAACTATTTTAATTGCATCTTTTCAGATAATTGTGCATATTCTTTCTTACTACACTCAAATTCACCAAATGGTGTTTCCTTAACTCATCAAGTTCTGTGGTTTTATATTGGAATTGGAATCGATTTGTAAGTTTATTCAAATGATAACAGCTGATTCTTTTAAATCTGCAAATGTTGGCATGTTTCATTATTTAGTATCAACAATGGTATTTTCAGTATTAGCAAAAGGAAGATATTTTCCTTGATTTGTTCTTTGAGATACAAATGAAAGTAGCTGTTATTCAGTGTGTAGTTTTGCATGCTGCAGCTGACCTTTATATAATGCAACAAAGGATACATAGCTATGTTATTAAACGTGCTTTTAAAAATGTATTTTTAACTACAAGAGCATGATGATAGAGTAACTGCTAGTGTGTTTGGTTCCACACTCTTAAGTTATGCTTAGAGTCATATACTTGGACATTGTAACCAGTACAAAAAGGGCAGATAGCTTAGTATTATCACAAATAATTGTACTTCCTTTAACCTCTAAAAGTACCTGAGCACCCTCAGGTATGGATGGATTACATTTTAAGAATAGCTGCTCTGAGCCTTGAAAAGTAACCATGTTCTGCTGCTTAGACGAATTTCTTTCTTCCAACGCTATACCCTTTTAAGACCTGGCAATGATTGGATAGCAGACCAGACAATAGTAAACCCTACTTACCTTAGGAGAAGAAATCTTCACATATACAATAATAGGGGCCAAAGAGGTTTTACTGAGTTGTGCTGGATGATTGATAGTGTCTGCATCGAGGACAACCAGTTGTAGTGTTCTTGCAAGTTCAAAAATCCTCTCAATTTCACTCTGAACTTCAGCTATGAAAGGTCAAGCATAGTTCAGTTACTCAGTTATTTAAAGTGTTTTTAAATCTAAAATTCTTCAGCAGAAGAATTGTCAATGTAGAAAATGCAATTGATGAACAATATTTCTTCACACCTTCAGAATTTAAAGAATTGCTCCTGACTACCTCTAAAATTTGTTTCTGGCATCATGCTCTTGAAGGGTTTGGGGGATAGGGTTAGCCCCATGACAGACAAAATTACAAGAGGAAAACAGTAAGTGCCATTATAAGATGTTTTGTGAATCTTCTGCTCAGATATTCTGTGAAAGGCTGTGCAAAAAAAATCAGATAAAGACCTTACAAGGGTGTAATGAAAAGTGTGTTGCCTTGTGTTACCATCTTGGTTATGAGGGGACCCTGCAAGGTCTCCCTAGTCTGGTGTTTCCAGGAAAAGTCTTCCCTTTCTTCAGGAAACGCTCCAAATACAGTTAGGTACATTCTATTAATGTAGTACTAAGCAATGGCCATCATAAAACCCCCTGTATCTGACAGTTCGGAGTACTAGACTGGTGGAGCTGTCTGCATGGTTTTCTCTAAAGGTCAACTTTCCTTTACTTGCTTATAATCTTGCTGTGTCAAACTCCTAGAATTCTCTTTTCAGTGACACCAAGACTCTCCATGTTTTGATGGTGAAGTTTTTTTTTATAAAATGTTGTATGAGATAGATCTCTTGTCTCTTTTTATGAAATGTGGTTTGTATGTTTATATCATTCATTATTTTCCCATTGTCATGCAGACTGAAGTATAAACAGAGTAGCTATAACAAACATGTCCAAAAGCACACTTCCCTTTTCCAGAGGAATGCTCATGTAATATCCATGTTTAAGAAAAAGCAGTTTCTGTAAGAACAGCACTACTCAAATCCAAGTCAAATTTTATACAAAACTTAACAATGAAGCATATGAAAGTCTATTTGAATGCTCAAGAAGATGGGACGGCTCGCCAGAGATTCTGAAACAAAGGCTCTCCAATTTTCTTTTCTTTGTCCTGGAGTTTGAACCTAGGGCCTTGCACTTGTGAGGCAAGTGCTATACCACTGAGCTACATCTATATCCTAATCCCTCATAGTTTTTGTTTTGATGGTACTAGGGTTTGTGTTTAGAGCTTCTTTGCCTGGGTTTTTTGTTTTTGGAGACAGCTGTTAGCCACATTCAACATGAATGAGCAACTAACTTTAAAATTTTACTTTAATAATTTAAATAGCCAGAAGCTAACATATTAAGGTAGTTTAGCTCTATAAAGGATAGTATGTACCTTGCATTTCCCACTGCCATCATGGAGAACAATTCCATAGGCTCCATTAGGCCAGCAAATTTCTCTTTACACCAGGTATTTGCTGGATATATGATTTTTTTTAATTGTGAAAATACTGTACAGAGGGGTTACAATTACATGGGCAAGATAATGAGTACATTTATCAAGCATCGTTGCCTCTTCCTTTGTTTCCCCTTCCCATCACCCCCCACCAAAGTGGTAAAGTTTGTTTTTCGACATAATGACCTGTATATCTTATTGTTGCAATGGATCCACCTGTATCCCTATTTAAATTATTTTTTTTGATATATGATTTTTTTAAGACAGGGTCTCATTTTGTAGCCTTAGCCACTCTCAAAACTTATTCTCCTCTTGCCTTAACTTGTAAAGTGCTAGATGTGTTTCATCATGCCCAGCTTGGAGATTATTTTAGCGAATAATATCATTCTAGAAGAACCAAGTCAAGGACTGATAGCATGGCTCAAATGTAGATTGCCTTCCAAGCAAACATGAGGTTCTTGAGTTGAAAGTCCATATTTCAAAAGAAAAATTACTTTAAAAATCACTAATGATTTACTCCATAAAATAAGTCCTTTTATTTACCTGAATGAATTTAAGAAAACTGAATTCAAGCTGCTTGTAGTAATAGCTTTAAAATAACCTACTACCAATGAAACAGTCCTGGCTAAAAGAAAATAATAAAAAACCCATCAAACTCAATTTCTATCAAGTTTCTGCACTTACCAGTTTAAGAACCACAGACTATACCAATATGTTGCAATTAGCAAAACTTCTGAGAAATTAAGAGATGTAATAGACCAGAACTACAATGTTTAGACCTTACTTGAATCCTGATATCATTTTTATATTCATAATACACTAATGAATCTACTTGGTAAAACAGGTGTGAGATAATTATGTGGGTAGATGAAAGGAGACCATAAGGAAAAAAGCACTGTCCTTGGCTAGTTTGTTTGGCTTTGAAACCACCTGAGACAAATGTTACCAATATGGTAACTATCACATGAATCATTGTGTTAATCTCCCATTAACTTCCCCAAACCCTCCATTCTCAGTTTATTCCTTGGGTCTGCTGGTTCAGCACACTGTCAGCTATTGATCAATCATAGATTCATAGGTTTATGTACATTGGTAAGTATTAGTCCATGTCTTTCCCATGAAACAAAAATTCTGAGAATAAGGTTTATGTCCACTTCTGCATCTCTAGCATTTGTAAAATGCCTAGTACCTCCTAGGGAGATAATTGTGAATGAACTCCTAAAGCTACATAGTTCTCTAAAGCTCCAAACTAAGAGTTTTTTTCTTGCCTGTCTTTAAATTCTACACTTCAGCCAAGGTGAAGCATAATCTACTGTAATCATTATGACTGCCTTAAACCCTTATTTGTCTGAGTTAAACTTCATCATGCTTCCAAGTCTCACACCAGCTCGTTGGAAGCCTTCCCCGGTGGCCTGCATCTCCTGCAATATTTGCTCATCAGCTCAGTAGAAGACCACTTTCTCAGTCATCTTGTATCCCAGTGGCTCTTATCAGTACTGAAAACTGTGGGTAGGAAGGGCTTCACCTAATTCATCTTATTTCCAGGCTTTACATGCGATTTGGTATCTAGCATATATGCTCAATAAAATATATCAATAGTTGTAGGGAGTCTTAGCAACCAATCTCACTGATTCAGTTCATGAGTCTAAATAAATGATTTGATTTTGGTAATCACTTGAATCTGTGACATAATTATTTTGTAGCAATTCCTTTGAAAATAGTGTGAGAATACAGTTGTAAGTTAATGTTTTCCCCTCACATTTCTAAACCTATATTACTTAAATCTCATCAGTAAGGGAATGATGATAAAACAGTTTTTTATGTACCATACTTATTACTACATAACCACAATTTAGAGTAAACTAAAACTTATGTTGTTAAAAGCCAGCCACTCAAGGAACAAACTAACCTCATGTATCTCACACAACAAAACCTACTTTATAAAACCCCAAACCGAACAATCCAGTAATATAACAAGATTTTAGAGAGATGAAATAGCTGCTGTGAAAGGTTCTAAATTAGATCCACCAGCACATTAATAAGCAGTTTTCAACCACCACGCTGTAAACACAGTAATCAAAATCCCTATAGTTTTTTAAAGTACTGAGATCAACAACAAACAGCCAAAACACGTTATTCTGAATAACATTTTGTTCAGATATTCAGCCGACATAAATGAAAACAAACTGGAACCAAAACGTCAATGCTAACAGCATGTGGAGTTTTTAACTTGAAACTCTCATAACCAGTCTTTCCATATTTATGAAATCATTAAGATTGTAGATGTCTCTTTTTCTGGTACCTAGAATTATCTAGTTAGATTGCTCACTGACATTTTTCATACAGCTTAAACTCACCAATGTAGCAGACTTCTATTGCACACTTACCCAAGCTTGACCTTGTATTGGATCTCTCAATTATTGCATGCTTACTGGGATTGTTTAATACTGATCGTTTGGCAAGGGAGATGTCCGCAGTGACCCTTGTGATAGATATCCTGTTGGAGAAAAATAACAGACTATCAAGTCTAATTCAAAAGGGAAAGAAGCACATGTCCTCAGATTACCAGGTAATATGTATATATTTTCAAACCAGCTATTAGAATACTTAATTACTTGTTTTCTTTGCACCTGCTTTGCTTAGCATTTATTGGTTAATTATAAAGTACTACATATATATTAAGCACTTTATTTAAATTGTCTCAAAATCTTACAATAGAATTTTATTATCCCGTTTGTGCTAATAAAAAATGTACCATGGGTAGATTATTTACCTAAAGTACTACATATATATTAAGCACTTTATTTAAATTGTCTCAAAATCTTACAATAGAATTTTATTATCCCGTTTGTGCTAATAAAAAATGTACCATGGGTAGATTATTTACCAAAACTATGTACTGAGTAATGGCAAAACTGAGATTTGAACTAGATTTTTTTTTTTTTTGGGTTCGGTCGTGGGGCCTGAACTCTGGGCCTGGGCACTGTCCCTCAACATTTCAGCTCAAGGCTAGCGCTCTACCACTTGAGCCACAGCGCCACTTCCGGCTTTTTTCTTTTTGCTTATGTGGTGTTGAGGAATCTAACCCAGGGCCTCAGGCATGCAAGGCAAGTGCTCTACCACTGAGCCACCTTCCCAGCCCCTGAACTAGATTCTTAAACCAAGATTCTTTAGCCTTGTGGCTTAGTTCACTGCTGTGACAAGCATCAATCAGAACAAGGCACCCTAGGTCTTCTTTTGGTGAGCTATAAGTCCAGTGGTAGCGAGGAATAAAAATTCATGAAGGATGAAAAATTTTGATGATTTTTATGAAGAGAAGATAGAGGGTATTGAAAGCTAAATGGCTGCTATATGAAAGTAGAACAAATTTATATGTAAGAAATCAGAATAAGAAAGCACTTTTAGAAGTAAAATATGACACTGACCATCAAAATTTGAGGGTTACAGAGCACAGTTAAAGACATCTCCAAAAGAGTTAACCAAACAAAACAGATGAAAAGCAGCAGAAAGCTAATAAAAGAATCAAATAGGAGATAAATTCCAAAGAACAGAAGTTCAGGAAGAGAGAAAAAAGTAAACAGCAGGGAAAACTAAAGGATGAACTTCAGAATTATCTAAATTGTCAAACTGAGATTATCTAATTCAGTGACAAAAAGATCCACAGCAAGACCTGTTATACATTTCATAACACAGTAAAGAACAAACACCTCCAGAGAAGAACAAGTCTTGAAGGATCAAAAATTGGAATGCTTTGTACTTCACATTAATTATAGTGGGAGTTGGAATGCGATGGAGAAAAAAAGGCCTTCAAATATCAGAAGGAAAGCTATCCAGCTAAATTCGATACTGTTTAAACCATCAGTTAAACGAGACATTTTGACATTCAGCGTCTTGGGACAGTCTTCTTTCTAGAAGAGGTATTCAAGATATATTTAAAATTTTTTTTTCTTTTGGCTAAAGTATCAGAAGAAATCTTGACAAAGTTCAAAGTTCTAGGCAAGAGGTATATGAACTCTAAAAGAAGTTGATAGCAGTGGCCAAGAATAATGATGAAGGGGGGCATCCCAGAACATTGCCTGGTAGGGAGAGAGTCTAGAATGCTCCCAAAGAGGCTCAAAAACATGGATAATTTTTGACTTATAGTGAGATGAGTCATTAATTTTACTTTTCTGTATTTAGAGATTTTCATTTTCTATACATTCGGCATTAGTCTCCATTATCCCTCAGCTGTGTAAATATTCACAGGATGCAAACATGCATTTATCTAAAAATTTGTCAACATTAACTTTTGGGATACCGGAGGATGAGACAGGTACCAGTATGAGTGTGAGTGTTTGGGAAAAGGCGAAATTTGGCTTGAAAGGTCAGTATTTTTCATGGTAGCAAGTTAGAAGATAATATGTACCACTGAAAACTCCAGCAGCAAATTAAGCACTATAGAGTTAACTAGGAAATATATATTTAAAAAATGTAGCTGAAATAGTTGAAAGTGACCGCTGTCTGTACAGGGCATTTTCCTTCTTTCTGGTTTATATTGCCATGTGTTTATACCAACTCATGGAGAATTGTCCTAAGATTCCCAAAATTCGTCTTTGCTGTCCTTTTGTGTTCAATCCTCCCTCCAGGGCACCTGCAGAGCTTATAGGTGTTCTGTACCGTCTGCCTTTTCTATAATGTCATACAAATGGAGTCATATGCACATAGGCTTTTGGGGTAAAATTCTCTTGAAAAACTTTATGAGACAGGTTTAAGATTCATGTCATAAATACCAATAGTTTTTATTATATGACTATAATTTTTTTATTTTTAACCTATTTGTACTTTGATGACAATCTGATTTTGTATTTATAAAACAATCATCAGGGCTGGAGAGGTAGCTGATAGAACAGTACTTTCCTAGCATATGTGAAGCCCTGGGTTTGATTCAGAATGAGAGGGAGGGGGTAGAGGAGAAAGCGAGCCCATAAGTTTAAAAAAAAAGAAAAAAAAAAGATTGTTTCATTATTAGTTCACAGTTCACTCATAAATGAGATTAGGCTAAATGAAGGAGCATCTGAGGCCTACTAGTGATTATTTTATTTCTTTTGTTTATGCGGGTGGATGGGTAGGTAGGGAGAAGTCCTCTGGGAAGCTCCAGCTGAAGTCAGCTAATACGATTCCCTACTGTTGATCCAGCATAGCTGTGGAGGGAGCCATTGTTTCAGTGCAGGAGTGCACACTATATGTCACATTCTTCAAGATGCTATCATGCCACACACCTGTACTTCCATCTGCCCAGAAACTGAGGGAAAGGATCCCTTAAGCACAGGAATTTGCGTCCAGCCTGTGCAGTATACAGAGACCCTATCTCAGCCTTCACAGTATCTCAGAATTGCCATATTAGCTTTTAAAGTTATAGACATCCATTCATGCTCTGTAGATTTGGTCTCATTTAGTCAAGGGTGGCATATGGGCCTTTGAATTTTTCTTAATATGCTTCAGATGATTTGAATATCCAGGCAGGGTAGGACAGCACCAGTTTTGAACATATTACATCTAAGCAAAAAAAAAAAAAAGTGATGTTTCCCAGAATTTCTGAATTCCAATATGATTTTCCTCACAGAAAATCCTGGCAACAGTGTATATAGCATCTCTTGAATTGCAGACACCACAGTGCTAGAGCTAACCTTTTCAAAATCCCTGGGAAAGAAAACAATTTATCCCATTGGGTAGCTTTCCTTCTGGTTTACAAGTTGCTAGTGCATTACCCGTCATTCTGAAGAGTGAGTTTTTCCATGACACAGCTGGTCAAGGCCAATCCAGTTTTAACTAGGCTGCTCTTGCACACAAAGAAGTTGATGGTCAATAATTTCTTTTTCCACCTGACATATTTAAGCTGTTAAAAAAATGGAATAGTGGTCTAACAACTCTCTAAGGGTTCCACAGTGAATTTAACTGAGTTTCAGAACAGAATAATAATTTCTTGATTGTCTACATCTTTATCATCAGCATTTCAGTTTCTTCCTTGTGGGTTTAGAAACATTTTTAATATATTTACTTAATGGGTTATTAAGAATTTTCTTTTCTGTTTTAGAATATCATGTATACCCACATGCCTGAAGTTCCTGATGACTTTTCACCCTTTGTTGCTGTTTTGTTTTGCCCAATTTAATTATAGTTACTCTGGATATGTTGCCATGGTTATGAAATAAAGAAGTTTCTATGTCTTTTGAAATTTTACTTTATGGTCTCTTACTTCCTTTGCGAAGCTTTAACTGGTGATCACAGCCCTAGATTGTTGAGCACCAGCTCTGTGACTCCAGAGGAGCTAAGACGTGTCCATTAATTACTAATGCCACATATAAATGACATTGGACCACAAATAATAGATTGATCTAACAGTCAGGTATTTGTTTCCTCAAGGAAATCAGTCTGGATGGCTGATACCCCAGAATATAAGTCTGACTGAAATCTCTTTCCCAAATTCAAAACAAGCTCAGGTTTAACTCAAGATGGTAAGTCAATAAATTCCATCCCATTTCTCCATCTTTGGCATTGACAAAACGACAGTGGGTTAGCATTTATGGACAGCATATGTCTATTCTAACTGAGGATTGGATGCTCATTTCCAATCTGTCACAAATGACAGAGCCAAGACTAACGGGAAATTTGGTAGATTAGGTATGCCTTTTATCCTTGGCTAGTGCCTGGCATTCTTAGATCAATCCAGACTATATTTCTTGGTGCAAATTCAAAGGTATTTCATAAAGTTATGGGACATAAAAAGAATTTAAGTAGGAGAATTTGTTTAGGCAGATTGTAAATACTCAATCTTTTTGTACCTTGAAACAGTTTGTCTTATTTATTCATTGGCTTATTTTTGCTATGGTTGTTTTCCTGGGGATTGCCCTTCCATGCATGCTAGCTTACTTGTTGAGCTAGATCTTGCTTTTCCCTCAGGCTGGCCTCAAAACTCCATCCTCCCTATCTTTGACTCCCAAGTAACTGGGATTACAGCCATGAGCCAACATTCCCAGCCTCTTTCACTTCCTGGTCATTTACTAAGAGTATTTGTTCTGTAGTAAACATTTTCCTCCTGCTTTTGCCTCCTCTATTGAAAGTCAGTATAAATTAGAAATCATTGTATAGGAATGGTCTAGAAAATACTATATTTTAAATCTTAAAACTCACTGAAACCCACAGATAAAAGCTATTATACTAATGCTGTAGAACAAAGAAAGAGATCACGAAGGAGAAACACCACTAAACGTGTATATTCCCAGGTCTTCTATAATGTGTTCTTAGTTTAAATCTAAGGTTTCTATTTTGGACTCATGTTTTTGGTATTCAGGAGTTGAATTAACTTTTACTATTGCCAACCATTAGTTCTTTAAGGATGATTTTCACTGGACTATAAGTAAGCTTCATAAAGTCAAGATCGTTGCCATTTTTAGCTCCTCACAATGCTTAACACTTAGGATATATGCGCAATAAGGATTTGCTGGGGCAAGCTGAGGAAGAAGAAGATGAGACAGGGAAAGTATTCAGTCAATGTTCATGGACAAGTTACTCTACAGGTGACCTCTGGTTTTGCTACCAGTCACATTCTGTGCGTAGGTGCTTAACTACCTCGGGCTGGCTTGCCTCACACCTAATTCTGTGTCATACCTTGATACAGTTGGTGAGACCATTTACAAATCTTTTTTGGATGGGGACATTTTAAATTAGTGTTGTTCACTCCCCATATTACCTACATTTTGGGCATCTATGTGTCATACTGCATGTTTCATTTATATTCTGCTTCTATATGTTTCAACTTAAAGCTCTTCAGATGAGGGACAGTTACTTCAATACCTGCCTTTCTCTAGCAAAGAGGCATTAATTCTATCTCGTTTGTATTTAAACATTCAGAGTACAACAGTTCACAGTGCATTTAAAAAAACAAAACCCTGCATGGGTGCTGGTGGCTCACACCTGTAATCCTAACTACTCAGGAAACTGAGATCTGAAGATCAAGGTTCGAAGCCAGCCTGGACAAGAACGTCTGTGAGACTCCTTTGCAGTTAATCAGAGAAAAAGCCCAAAGTAGTACTGTGGCTCAAGTGGTAGGGTACTAGCCTTGAGCAAAAGGAGCCCAGAGACAACACCCAGGCTCCCCTTCCTCCCCCCCCCAAAAAGAGCCAGGTGTTGGTGACTCAAACCTGTAAATCTTCTAAGGATTGTGGTTCAAAGCTAGCCTGGGTAGAAAAGGCCATGAGACTCTTATCTCCAAGAAACTACTTAGAAAAAGCCAGAAGTGGGCTTGTGGCTCAAGTGGTAGGTGCTAGCCTTGCAAAAGAGGCTCAGGGACAGAGCCCAGGCCCTGAGTTCAAAACCCCACGGACTGGCAAAAACAAAAAGTGGGGGGAGTAACCCCTGCCTTCATGGGGTTTATATTCTAGTTAGAGAAAAATAAACAAAATAAATAATGTGAAAGAGCGCTATACTAGAAAAAGTAAGGGAAAGAGGACGCGTATTTTGGCATAGGCAAGTGCAATGTGCAGAGGCACTTATGTGGACAGGTATCTGGCTCTGTAGCCCTCCCTGGTGGTAAGAAGTATTGGTGAAAAATGTAACTGGATAGACCAAAGAGCATAGAAAAGAGGGCAATTGCACTATACACCACCCATTCAATGAGTTTTGCTATTTTGCCTAAAAAATGAAATAAGATAGTTGGAAGGGTCAGATTCGTATATGGTTTCTTTTTGTTGTTGGTGGTGGTCATGGGGTTGAACTCTGGGCCTGGGCATTGTCCCTGAGCTCTTCAGCTCAAGGCTATCATCCTACCACTTGCATCACAGAGCCACTTCCCGTTTTCTGGTGATTAATTGGAGATAAGAGTGTCACTGGACTTGCCAGCCAGGGCTGGCTTCGGACCATGAACCTCAGATCTCAGCCTCCCTACTAGCTAGGATTAGACATGATCCACTGGTGCCCAGCTGTAGTTAGTTTCTATTAAAACAGTAAGTACTGATGAGAAAGAATAGAGGATGTTGATGGCCACGTCTGGATGGTATGAATGGGAAGGAGTTGGGGAGTAGGATATGGTTGGCTGTTACAAAGAACATCCTAAAGGAAAATGCAGATCAGATAAGCAAGTAGATGGGAATGGGTGTACTGGTGGGAACCCAGGAACACTCTAGTTTCCTCTATTTTCTTAGTGAGACAGGAATGAAGATTTATTGTGCATGGTGAGATAAAGAGTTGAGTAAAGGTCTAAGCAGTGAGAGGAGAGGGTAGTAAAGTCATTTGGAAGAGTGGGAAGTTGAATGGAAGAAGGTATAGTTCTGACATCTGAGAAGCAGCAAGGGCCAGATGGGTCACAAATTGAGAGTGAGACTAGTTAGCAGTGCCAGGCCAAGTTCAGTTTATGGTCCCAGGTACAAGAATTACACCTTGTGTGCAAAGCGGATCTCACAAATACTACTGTATTGAATTGAACTGATTGAGACCCATTTCTTGTCTATATTCAGACATCAGAAGATGTTTTGTGTCCCACCACAGTGTAGTCACTCTTTTTTTTTTTTTTGGTCAGTTGTGAGGTTTGAACTCGGCCTGGGTGCTGTCCCTGCGCTCTTTAGCTCATACTGCTTGAGCCACAGCTCCACTTGTGTTTTTTTTCCTAGTGGTTTATTGGCGATAAGAGTCTCACGGATGTTCCTGCCTGGGTTGGCTTTGAACCTCGATCCTCAGTTCTCAGACAACTGAGTAGCTAGGATTACAGGCGTGAGCCACAGGCACCCAGCCCAGTGTGGTCACTTTTTTTGGGGGGGGGTCCAGTCGTGGGGCCTGAACTCTGGGCCTGAGTGCTGTCCCTCAGCTCTTCAGCTCAAGGCTAGCGCTCTACCACTTGAGCCACAGCACCACTTCCGGCTTTTTTCTTTTTGCTTATGTGGTGCTGAGGAATCGAACCCAGGGCCTCAGACATGCAAGGCAAGCACTCTACCACTGAACCAACTTCCCAGCCCCAGTGTGGTCACTTTTAAATACACAAAAATCAATCTTTTGAAATACTCACCGCCCTTCAAATCTGTGTTTTAGAAAATCAAACAGTGCTTTCTGCATCATATCTGTGACCTGCAATTAGGCAAACAATAAAATAAAATGATAAAAGTATTACTAAGTATGATAAAATTATTCCTACTATGATAAGCCAATTCTGCTTGAAAACCTGACTTTGTCTTTGGAAAACACCGCATGTGATATTATATGTTCTGTTTCTTAGTTCTGATGAAATAACAATTAAAAAGAATGTTCCCAAGATTTATAGTGGCTTAATGATAACAAGTGCTTTCATGGTCACTCTTTTTAATACTATTTCCTGAACTTAGTAATTGCAGCCAACAGAACTCTCCTAAGCAACATTTAAGAAAACAAAACTGTGCAAAATGCTAAGCAACATTATCACAGGTTGGAGAGAGCACAGAAAGCAACGTGTTTTGCTTCTGTGAGCTCTTTAGTTTCTAATTGAAGAGCTCAGAATAGGATATAGAGCCACAAGGCACTTCAGCATGAAAAGATCAAGTGCATTACAGAGAGCAGTCACTTACCTCATACCCCTTCAGAGAAGGGCCCACGAGGACCACTGGCCTCATGGAAGGTACTACATCATAAGGAGGAGTGTGCTCTGTCTGCAAAGAGAGGAGATACTTTTAGATATTTCCGTAGACATCAGGTACTGAAATATTCTGTGTATAACAAAGTACTCCTTGTTGCAGTCTGTTAGAGTAGGCACTGGCTTTGCAGACATTAAAATGATTTTCTACTTGCCTCAATTCTAAATAAACCCAATTAAAGATTAGTGGGTTTATTTTTCTAATGTTATCAAGTTCCTGAGTGGCCTATGATTTTCTTGTTCTTCCCAAGAAATGCTTTTGTTGTGTTAGTTTCAAAAGCAGGAAGTGCTGCTTTTGAAAAAAAAATAGTTGGTACAACAAACAAAACATGCCTCATGCAGGATAGCTTTAGGCTCACTGAAAATTAATATTGTCAGATGCATTTGAATTTTCTGCAGAATTGAGCAGCTCTAACATAGTTACTTAGCAGCTTAGACATTTGTCTTACCTGCACAAAACCTGAATCTCAAAACTCTGACTTTCACTGTCAAATATTTTAAAATTCCAGTTAAATTGTGAGCATTTAAATGGCTTGTATTGTCCCAAATAACAATAATCACTGTTCACAGCAGTGAATAATACTTCTGGATTTGGGGCATTTGATTTCTATATAATGGCCAAAGATAAGGCTTATGTGTCTTGGAAGGAAGGTAATAAATGTGTTAATAACATATTCAACATGCTTTAGGAACGTCAAAATGTTCATTGTCAACTTGCATATATCATATGCTTTTCAAACTTGGTTTAGGTAGAATTTCTGTTATGTATCTAATTTATGTTTTTGTACAATAGTTTTTTTTGTTTCCCTTTTGGAAGAACAGTGGAAGAGATAAATTGTCAATGCTTTTCCACTTAGTTGCTTAAAGGAATTTCTTTTAAAAAAAAGTAATACTAATTTGTTTCATTATATTAAAACTGGCTCTTTTAAAGTTATAGAAAACAGTAAATTGACACAGCAGTAACCTTTTTGTTAACCTTTTTGTTAATGCAGAAAAGAAAAGCAATAGATAAGGCTTTTGCCACTAGGATAAGGAAATTATTTGCTTTTAGCTTTATAGGAATCTGGATTAAGCAGTATATGAAAGAAAAAGTATCTTAAAGAATTACATGCACCAAAAGAAAAATGTTCTTTAAACTACTTTTAAGAATTTCATGAACTGATGTATTTTTTGTATCACCCTTTCACTCAAAATCATTATTGCTTAACATTTGCCAATTGAAAACTTTCTGGCTTTATTTCAGTTTAAATTTGCAGTGTACCCATGGGGAGGGGGAGGTTTAAAAAGCATTTCAAATTCAAAAGCTTCCATATGAGATTTTATTAGTAGTTGTAGACTGAATGATAAGAGCGGAGAAAAATATTAACGATGATTGTGCTGTCACATTGATTGCATAAAATTTTACTTAGCACTCAGAATTATTTTAATAGACACAATAAAGGTAAAATACAATTTTGAACCAAAGAAAAAGCAAGACAAACATACAGTGACAGCACAAATGCCACACAAGCACCACCTAAAAGCAATCTAAAACACAGAAAACAAATCTCATGGATTGTCAGGTTGATTCTGTCCCTCCCTCTCCCCCGCCCCAGACTCTACACTGAAGCTTACTACATCATTGAGAACATAAGAGAATGAATACCAGTGCCGACGGCATCATAAGCATATTTACCAAATCAGTATATTTTATCATTCATTTTATATCACCTGGGATTATATTGAAAATGTTTGGAAACTAAGTCCTTATAACTATACAGTATAAGAACAACTTTCACCATTATAATTAGGAATATAAATGGCGTGCATTTTAGTAACAGCTAACAAATTTTATTTCAAGTGTTAAAGTCCTAAGTGGCCCAGTTATTTCATAGCTTTTTTTGGTTCCTTTGATCTGTCCCTGACATCTAACAATGGTTTACCCATGCTGGAATCAATCGACTTCTTAGTCAATAAGGATAGCTACAGAAATTACCTTATTTGATGGAATAGTGATATTTTTATGCCCTATCAAACTTGACAATTTTATTTACTCCTTTCTTAAAAACCCTATTTTGTGATAATTATTTCGAAGTTTAGAAATGTACGAGAAAGCAAATTTCAAAATAATATCTTGGTTTTAGGTGATGTTGCTAGTCTCTGAAATCTAGATCATCTGAGCAGTGCTGATATTATAAATGTCCACACTATGGACACTGTTATTTGGCTGCAACTTTTAGCTATGATGTAGAAATAGGACCAGAGCTTAACACATCAATCCAGGTGTTGGTAAGCTTTATCTGGAATACTGAGGGCTTCTCTTCTTAATCCTAATTTAAAAAATAGTGTTAATATCTGACATTAATAACCTTAGAGCTCCACTGCAGAGCAAAAGTCTCGGGGAGAGAGTAGGTTTTACTTCATATGTGTGTGTCTGTGTCAGAATCTACCCATGGTATAGGACTTGATGACATTTGGGAAATAATGAGTTTAAAAGACAGCATAATAGCTGTGGAAAGTGGTATGTAAAAGCTGGGGGAAAGAGAAATCGAAGGGGGAGTGAATGTTCCTTTAAAAAATAATTCTTTGTAGCTACAAAATACATTAAGAGGAAACAGACTATCTGTTAAAGAGGAAATCCAGGGAGTTTCCAGTCAGGGGGTAGGTATCATCAGTATGTAGCATCTTGGTTGGCCAATGGCAAAGGCGCTATACATGGCCACCAGCCCCATTGTCCAACAGGTGAGATGCTGAGATCTGACTGATGGAGATAGCAAGAACATTGGGAAGAGTATTTATATATGACAATAGGAAAAACTCACAGTAAACCGCCAAAACAAGCCTGCAGTTTTCCATTGGTCCTGTTCATCTGCAGATTTTGCACCTAGTGGATTAGAAGTTTAAATACTGACTAAATTAAAACTTGAATAACCTTTTTTTTTTAAGAACAAGCTATGTATCTGGATATCATAAATCAGACTCTAGTAACTGCTTTATTATGCTTGATTATAAATTAAATTTCTGGAAAAAAGCAAGAGACAAAGACAGTATAAGCATGCACAGTTGAGGTGCATTATATGGAATTGTCAGTGTTGGACATCCTTGAATGTTTAAATAAATTCCCTTAGTGGTAGATATTATTCCATCAAAAAGGATAAGTACTGTAATGATGTTTTAATAGGTCATTCACTAAATTTAGTTGCTTTGAAATGCATGGACTCAATTCATGGCTGATAGGTTGTTTCTTAGGACAGAAATTATTTAATAAAACTGGGAATTAATGCTAATGATGCCAGTGGCAGGATAAACACAGCTTATGTCAATGTAAACTTACCGATTTCTGCTTCTGCTTAGCTACAGCAGCATGGAAAAGAAACAAAGAATAACAGAGCATGCATGTTATTGGCTTGTCAAAAGACGCAGACAGTCAACAGGACTAGAAATGTGACGCAGTGCAGTTGAGCAGGTGGACAATGGGAGCTGGGAAGTTCATGTTACCTTCTTAAAGAAGGGCATTCTTTTCTCTTTGGAGTGGGGTGACGTTACACTGTTTGCACTGGGTTTAGGGGAGCGGTGGTTTGCTGGAATATCATTTTCTTCTGCATCTAAGCCAGTAGCATCTATGTCTATAGCTATATACAGACAAACAATTCAAAAAACATCAGGTGGGCAGGAAAGGAAAGACAGGTTATAAAAATAAAATGAAAGCAAATAAACTAACCACTGTAAACCATCTATTGTGAGTTCTCAACACAGTACACAAAGTAAAATTTTAAAGTTCAGAATTTTAAGAATTCAATGTAATCAAATCTAATAAAATCGAAAGATTCCCTCACCAGAACAGTTTGCTTGAGCAAACAGTTGTGTGCTAGAAATCATGAATATTTTAGGGAAACACTTTTAATTTGTAATTTCAGATATAATACTCTCCATTTTAATGGTATAAAAGTATAGTACAGAATATACTTGGCTTCACTTGGTACAATATCTCAACAATAAACAGACAGCTGAATTGGGATTGTTGGACACAGTGTCTCAGATTTCTTATTTTACTGATTAATAAGAGTCATGTGAAAAGCTTCACTGAAATTACAACAGACATTTAAGAGAAAGAATTAAGAATTCAACCCATGCAGTGCAGAGAAGTCATATAAGCAGGCCCATCATTTATCAGATTGGGTTCCAGGATGAGCAGGAATGAAAGGATTTCAAGATGTATGCATTCTCAGATCTCACTGAAGGCCAATTAGAAAACACTGGATCTAATGATATTCGAAAGAATCCAATCTCATAAAACCAAATGAAAAACCTCTGGTGATTCATAAAGCCACTGGATATTAGATAAGAGACCAAGTGGATGGGTATAAAGACCCATGAGAATGTGCCTCTGGTTTCCTCATCTGTCAACAAGCCATTTCAAGTTTGTTGCTCAGCATGCTTCCACTTGAAAATTTTCTACCTGAAAATGTAAGTCCTTAATAGTGGTAAATTATTTTTAAAAAATGATGTAAAATCTCACTTTGGAATTTATACATTATTCCACCTGGAATCACTCAGATTTTATCAACTGTAGAGTTGGAAGTACTTTTAAGATCACCCTCCACCCTTGAATTTTATTTTTTATGTATTCATTTAAGATTTAAAAGCTGAACTCACAGGTTTTAAGGGACTTTTTCTTGGCAAAACCTCAGTAGCAACAGGACTCAGAACATAGGTCTTGTGTAGTAGAGACTTCACACTTGTTTCTATATGGTGCTGCCCTCCAGTGAGGTCCCTTCTTAATTTGGATAGACTCTTTCATTCCCTACTGCCTTCCTCAACTATGGTCATGGCCTCAGTGTCTGGATGCAGAAGAACATAATACAGTGAAGCCTGCTAGAAGATTACTTCGGATATCTGAGATTAGGTCAAGGAGAAGAAAATTTAGTCCAGAAAAGCATTTTAAAAATGCTAACATAACTGCAGTACATTCACATTTAAGGAACAAATTGCCATTTGGAATAACAGCTAGTCTAGTATTGCAACAAAGCTACCATTTTCTGTATTGGTAGCTGAATTCATCTCAGCCTCTTCTATCCTTTTCAAAGGACCAGCGATCATCTGATAGGCATCACATTATTGTTCAGTGTTGCAGTTATTACAGATATTAGATGACTCAGCCTTTTGAAAATTCAGATCTTGTATTTCCTTTTTGTTTCTTATTTTTTTGTTTGATTAGATTGAAAGCCTGTGATAGAGTGAATACCTGGCATTGTTTACCCAGTGTTACAAAGACCAGCTTTGCTTGCATAATAGAGGAGGTCTGATTTTCTACAAAATGAAGGTAATAATAGATTGAATGAATTCCAGGTATTTAGACAGGCTTTACCTAGTAAATGTACCTTCTCTTTGTCTATGCATACATACTGGTGAGCTATAACATTTAGTGTGTAGTATGCATCATAAAATATGCCCATGCATTTGAACCTAAAAGGCTTTTTAAACCACATAATAGCTCATATAGGGAAGTTTACTTATGGGCTTATTACATGACATAATTAACCTAAAAGGACTTAGAGAAAAAAATTCCCGAAGTTTACTACATTGAATTTCAATAATGAACTATGTCATTAACACTTTCCTAGACATGAAGGAAAGGAGCTGACTCATTATTTCCAAATTTTTCTAACAAGTGTTAACCAATATCAAAATGTGTTTCCCTTCTGGTGGTAAATACTCAAATACTTTATCCTCTTCATGTATTATGCAGTTTGAGAAGGCAACACTCAAGGCAAAGGATCCTCGGAGCTTTTCTGAAAGCAAAGCTCAATCCAGTTGGGTATCAAGAGTTGACAGGATCCTAGGTTGGTACCAAGTTTGTAGACTGGATTGTATGATTTGTCCATTGACTCTGATCTGCTATGGAAATTAGACTGATTTGATTTAGTAAGAACAGTGGGAATCCTTGAGAGTGGAAATACATAAATGTTCAGCTCTAACACTGCCCAGATGTTTGGTTACTAATAACCTGAGTTTGGGATTTAAATTTCTACCTTTTTATTATTTTTCAGTAGAACTGGGAACTGAACTCAGGCCTTCCTTGCTGAGCAAGTCCTCTATTATTTGAGCCATGCCCCAGACCTTTTGTTGTATAGTTTTGTTTTTGCTTGTTAATTATGGTTTTATCTTGAGACTATGTGGTCCAGGCTGGCCTTGAACTCAAGATGATCCTGCTTCTGTCTCTACAGTCCTGGGATCATAGCTATCTATATGTTGCCATTCCTAGCACGGTTCTATTCCACATTCGTTCTTTTATTGAGAGATGTTACTTATTCTGAATTTCTTATTTATTCTGTACTTTGGCAACAATACTATTTACTCAGGAAAAAATACTTGTATCCATTTGAAAATATTTTTTTCTCATCCTATCACACTAGCATATTTGTTTGTTTATATAGCTAATCATGGAACATTTCTTGAAATTTAAATGTTGGCTTAATCTTACAACTTATGTTTAGTTGAACAGAGTTCAGGTATGAAGTATATACAAGTGTGTAGATGTGGATATATGTATTGTACAAATTTCTACTACCCTGTTACACAGGTTTTGAAGTGGAAATTACTCCTTGGTCTAGCAGCAGGTAGGGAGAATTATAGATAAGGCTTTGGAAAGCAAAAAAGATAAAAATTGTGATTGTAGCCAATCCACACTAGATAAATGTGCAGCAGAAACTTATGAAGCTTTCCTTTAGATCACTTGAGCTATTAATATGGAAATTATTAGAGTACAATGTCCTTATTGTAAGTTTGCCAGCCCCATCAGTCATTATATCAAATTATTTATTTTAGTAAATATCAGTATATTAAATTCTCTATGCAGTTCTATTTTCAGTAATGATGAACATATGACCACAAAATGATATTTTATATCTATTAAACATATCTGGGGGTTGGGAAGGTAGCTCAGTGGTAGAGCGCTTGCCTTGCATGCCTGAGGCCCTGAGTTCGATTCCTTAGCACCACATAAGCAAAAAGAAAAAAGCCGGAAGTGGCGCTGTGGCTCAAGTGGGAGAGCACTAGCCTTGAGCTGAAGAGCTGAGGGACAGCACCCAGGCCCAGAGTTTAGGCCCCACGACCGGACCCAAAAAAATAAAAAAGTTAAAAAAATAAACATATCTATTACACCTATCTATTATACATAGAACTTTGTTTTTCTAAAATGCATACACTATGTTGGTAAAATAATTAAAAGAGAAAATGAATGATTTTTGCTGATTTACAAAAAGCAAATGTGATTTATATTTTTCCTTCTCATTTTAGGACCAGCTAACAGTCTTCAGGAATCCTTGAGGTTATCTTTAGGGTATACAGGGAATAGGTAAGGTTTGCATAGGAATCCTTGCAACTTCTAGGTTTGCGATGGAGCAGGGTTAGGCTTCCTGCTCCTGTACAATCCTAGAAGTACTAGCTTCACATAGTAGCTACCAGAGCTTTGATTTTCACTGCAAGCCTACACATTTTACTTAATGTTGAACAATTTAGAGTTAATCCCAAGTTGCACAGTGATAGCTTTTTAAGTCAATATGCAACCTAAAGATTGTGCTCATATTTTGCTTCCTTCAAAAAAAAATCCTATAGTTTTTGCTGTCTCTCGTTCCTAATAGCCTTCATGTTCTGGCAGTAGGTATAACTACGAGGAATAATAGAGAAACTAATAGAGGAATCATGTTCTTAAAACTCAATTAACTGCAGTGGGTTCCTTAATTTCTTCATAGACTCACTGTCCTTTCTGATCTCATTTCCAGCTCTCCAGAAACCACATAGTCATTTCGCTCTCCTGACCTGGCAACCAAATCCTTAGAATCTTATCGAACTCCCAATTACACATTAGCAAACTAAGACTGATCATGGCTTTCATATAGCTAGCTTTCTATTTATGTAAAACTCTCAAGTTCTCCACAAAATGGTGGAGCTGTCAGAGTTAGGTAGTTAAATTTATTTGAATGTCACATAATTTTTAATGTATCCTGTAACATAAGTATGTCCCATGAAATACAGATATTTGTTTACTTCATTTCAAATTTATTTGGGTGCCCTTGTTTTAGCAAGCCCATGTGTTCATGGTATTGTTGTTGTTGTTTGGTGGTACTGAAGTTTGAACTTTTAGCCTGCTGTTTGCAAGGCAACTGCTTTACCATTTGAGCCATTCCTCCAGCCCCATTTTTTTCTTGTTTTTTCTTATTTTTTAGGATAGGGTCTCGTTCTTCTCTAGGGGTACACCTGAGCTGCAGTGTACCTATTCTGCCATCATCACTGATATATCACAGATAGCATATATATGCATGACCATATTCAGCTTCTCTCCATAGACATACGAGCCAGTTGGGATTTACTGCCTGGGCTAGCCTGGTACCATGATCTCAGTGTCCCACTGTGGGCTCTCCCCACTGTGCTGAGCTGTGAGTTGCAAAGGGTTCTCCCAGTTTTTTCTGCTCAGGCACCACTAAAATCATGATCCTGTCTATTTCAGTCTTCCAAGTAGCAAGGATTAGTCTGTGAGTGCCTGTGCCAGGCATTGTTCTAATTTCTGTGCATTCCATGTCTTCCACAGTGCCTGACTGGGCACTCACTTTGTCTTTACCGCATTCTCTGTTCCTCACCTTTCTAAAGTTTGGATCTCTTTTTCTGTAACGTTGGTGCCTACCCATCACATTGAGTGACATGTTGGGCACAATGGTTGGGACTAGGGATAAAAAAAAATCACATGGCGGCCTGGGAAGGTGGCTCAGTGGTAGAGCGCTTGCCTTGCATGCATGAGGCCCTTGGTTCCATTCCTCAGCACCACATAAGCAAAAAGAAAAAAGCCGGAAGTGGCGCTGTGGCTCAAGTGGTAGAGCGCTAGCCTTGAGCTGAAGATCTGAGGGACAGCGCCCAGGCCCAGAGTTCAGGCTCCACAACCGGACCCAAAAAAAATCACATGGCATTCATCACTTCAATCTACAGCCAACTCATATTATTGACATACTTCCTTTTTTTTTTTTTTTTTGGTCAAGGCCAGAAAAAGGAATTCTCCATGCTGTCCCTAGTTTCATAGGGCCTTTTATTTCTGATAGTTTAGTATTTGTAGGGAAACAGAGTGACTCAATACTTTGTGCATCAACTCACAAAACTCGGTAACACTATTGCAGAAGCATGAAATGCAACATGTGGTATCTTGCACTTAGCACCTACTTACCAGATGATGGAGGTGTAGATTTTCTGGAACTAGGTACTATGTCACCCAAACTGGATGATGAATTTCCTCCTGATTTACTGAAGTAAAGCAAAAATGCATATTTAATCAGGCACTTATTTCAGATCCTAAAACATTCATCTTGCTCAATATACATGATAGTAGTATGTTGTATTTTTGTTAAATAGATCTTTCTTACAAGGAAGCAAACAGTAATTACCAAGTGGAGATTCCTGGAGTATTTGAAACAGTTACACAGTAATCTCCATTTTCAAATTCAAGCGTTCATTTAAAAGGCCCTAGGATAATGGAGAGAATGCTGATGATTTTTATAGCCCTCAGGCTTTATGGCTAGATCACAGATTTCCTTTGCTCTGTATTTTAGAAGCCTTCTGAGACAATTTATAGACTTTCAAGGCTAATGAACAAACTCAGTGAATGTTATCTTCCAGCCCCTTTGTCTTAGATTATTTTTTATATAATAAGACAGGTTATTCAAGCTTTCATAGACAACCTGTAAAGGAAAAACACATCAATGAAGGAAAAACAGAGCATTATGGTTTAACCAGCAAATAGTACACAGAGCATTCCTTAACCATGGCTAACATGGAGGATTAAACTTGGTTAAGAATGTTTTGAAGAACATATTCTTTAGAACTACCAAATTTTAAATTTTGATAGAAGATATTTGTGCCTTAAAATCTTGTGAGTTAATGTGAAATAGTATTTACGAATTTCACTCATATACAAGAATGGTAATATCCATATTACTAAATAGCTCTTTCACACAAAGGTGATGTGAACATCTTAGAAGAATGGCCTGGAATTTGGCAAGGCGCTACACTCCTTGATGGGCCAAAGTTTATCAGGGCTGGGAACCACTGGCCTGAGGGCTGTCTTAGGCCTACAAAGTCATTTAGTAGATAATGGGAGAGACATATATACCTGAGCTGTCCTGGGATCTTCTGCCTGTGTTGACCATTTTGTATGGTCAATAACTGATACCACAAATATAAAAATGACCTTTAGCAGAAAAAAGTTTTCTCACCCCTGAAAGGAATTTTCTAGAGTGCCTGTGCATCAAAGACCAATATTTCTCCATGTAAATACTAATATTACAATATAAGTTCTGTCAGTAATGGGCTGGAATTTATTGCTACTACTTTGGCATTTTAAAGCATAGAACAAGCATCCAAAATTTTATGAAACAACTAGCAAAAGGACTATCATTTCAACGTTTTTGAGAGACATCCCTCTTACATTTAATAAAGATACCAGATAGGATGTAAAATGAACAAGCAATACTTGGAAAAGCAATCTCTGGCAGTTACATAGGAAATTTACTAGAATTAAAATACATTCTTCTGCAAGTTTTTCCCTCTAAAGTGCTAAGCCTTAATTTCAGTTCAAACATGAGTTTACAGTCCTTTTAAATTTTAATAGTTAATAGACCACAATAGACAATTTGCTCCATGAAAGTTAGAATGTGTTTGTGACTTTAAGCATCACTATCCCACAATACTGTCAAATTTGGGAAATCACTTAATCACAATAAAGACCTTGAAAAAAAATAATAGTTAAGATATTGAGTTATGTAAAATTGTGACAGACATTACAAGTAATCAACATGGTCATGATACATATTGGCCCTTTTAGTTCTCTAAAAATGAGAAGTTTTTCAACTGTGCCCCTCATTTTCTTTGGGTTCTGTCAGGCTTTATATTATACCATGCTTATTAAACACTGCTTAGTTCTGATAATAACCTTTAAAAATAAGAAATGTGAAAGTCTGTGGAAGCAAGCCACAAGTATTTTTCCATACTTAGATAAAAGTAGGGGTCAGGAAATGGAACAAAAGAAAATCAAAGGAAAGAGGATACTACCTTCCCTAGAATAGGGTACAAGTGTGAAAATTACAAAACGCTAGTTAATGAGGATAGACATTCCAACCTCCAATACATTTGATATTTCATTTGATACTTGAGAGGGGGAAAAATCCTGCTAACATTAAATTTTCATTATTATATAGACAAATATACACCGGAAGAAACAGAAACCACTGTAGTCACATTTAAGAGAAGTCCTGCTTATTTCCTACCCTTTTATGTAAGGAAAAAGTATGTCTCACTCTGGACTTGTGTGTACAGGGTTTAATATCACTGCCTGTATGAGTAGCCCTCCCGGTGAGTCTACAGTGCCAAGTAAACAATATCAAGCCTCCTCGAAAGGCTTAGGCAGCCTTAGCCTATTACATAACCCATCTAATTGCTATCTGCAAAGGCAATTTTGACTTGTTTTATACTTAATGTCTATGTGCATAACAGTGGGTAGAACTGAAAATCGAATTTCTCAGGTGAAAATGAAAGTAACAAATAACAGGAATTGCTATTTGCCAATGATGTCTGGGGCTGTCATCTCCAAAATGTGTTTCTGCCAGCTACAGATGCTGGGATTAGTCACCGTGGCTGTTCAGTGCCACACTATTTTCAGCAAATGATTAGGACCTCAGAATTTCCTCTGCACTGAGCTGGAATTGAATCTCTATGACCTTAGCTATTTTCATTAATGACCATAATTAATTTGAATCTCTCTCAAATGGGATGAAAATAGAGTGCTGGGAAAGTTTTTAAATTCAGGTGTTCTTAAATTCAGGTAATGCTACCAGTAAAACACATGATCTATCTGCTTTTTGATACATAAGATAGTGGGATATGACAAACAACAGTCTTAATTTTTATACAAGTACTTGACATTTTCTTCATACCTGGAGTAGAATTTCCCTTGCTTGGCTCTCTGTTCATGCTGTAGCCTCATGTTTTCTAGTTTTACTGGGCTTGGGATGAATCCGATTTCACAGCCTTCTTTAACTAATCGCCCTATCCACCAGTCATTATTAAATTTCTAAACACAATCACAAACATTAAAATTAGTGCACACAGAAGTTCATTCCTTTGACTTGTTTCCTTCCACATTAACAATATCCACCAGGAAGAAATGTAGCAATCCCAATGATTTATGCCTCAGATATCATAATTCAAAAAACTCTTGGGTTCATGAGATTAGCACACTAGATTGAAAGTCTGTTTGGCATTGTCAGCCATCCTTGACAGCTTTGTGCTTTCTTCTCTCCCCATGCGGACTTTAAGATCAGCCTAGATTCTATCACAACTGCTGCTGAACCTAAGAAGGCTGAGTCCAAAGATATATAGTCCTTTCTAGCAAGAGTCCACTAGGAAAATAAAAGGTATAACAGCTTTCTCCCTTGTATAATCACATTAGAAGTATTAAGAGTGAAAGGTAAATACTGAAATCTACCTGAAGTATTTTGTGTCACCGCCAAATTCACCTGTGTGTAAACAACTGTATAATTATGCATTATAGTGTTTACGATGATATCTCTATATTAGTGTTGATGTGTCTCTTGCAAGTAGAATATTTAGCTAGAATCTGTATGATTTGATTTGATTTTTCTCAACAAAGTATTTCTGAACACTACAAAGGATATTAATTGTTTTCTTCCCATTGGTATAAAGAGATCCTCTTCCAAGCACCGGTTGTATTAATCTAACTTCTTGACATGCAAGATTTAGGCATACCATTACTTGTAAAAAAAAAAAAATCCTACCTTTTCCATGTAACCAATATTTGTATGCATCTTCCAAAAAGTCATTGAAATGGAAGGCTATCCATCTATCTGGATCTGGGAATTGTACCCAGGTCTTTGTGAAGGTAAGCACTCTACCTCTTGAATCATACCCCCAGTCCTTAAATTAGTATTTAGTGCACTGATCAGTTAAATTTTTACATTTCCTGTGACATGTCATCCTTTAAATAGAAGTGTAGTCATTGTAAATCCCTACAGATTGAAGAAAACTTCACATGCATGTTAAGAGTATGATCTAGGAGGAATGTCTGTGTTTCTATAGTGTACCCCAGAGCAGGCATTAGATACACATTGACTCTAAACAGAATTTAAGTCAAGGTGAAGTTTTCCAATTTAAAGATTGTATTATTGTTAATAGAAAGGTAGAGATTTGAAAAAAAAAAAAGGAATTTTCTTGATAAATCTGTTTCTTGCCTTCTTGGCTCTTAATTTCTCCAGTTCAGAAATTTAGCATCTCAGGAGGTTACAGGGCACCAGTGGTATGAATTGAGAAGTTGTCAGCCATGAGAGTTCTAGATATTAAACCTTCCCCAGGTGGCTAAACTTTAGACATAAAGAAACTTTACACCTAGTCAAGGTTAAGCCTTAAAGCAAAAAGTACAGGTTAAGCATAAAACAGGACCATCTAATAGTTACCCAATCTCCAGATCACAAGGCCCAAGGGAGCCCTGAAGCTATTGCCAGAAGTCTTAACTTTTTTTCACTTTCAAAATGTATAATATTATCAGAAGAAGGTTGAGAGCCACTGCTTAGCATGCATGTTACGTTACACAACTGCAACTAGACGCAATGCTATTTCACCACAGAAATAATTGTTGTTTCAAGGGGAAAATTATACTAATAAAAGTTGAAATTGTTGTCCTTACTTCCTTAACATGCAGAAAATCTTTCGCCTCAAATGAGATGGCCATGCCTGGCACTGGAACATCATCTTCATGGGCTGCACTGTAGCTGACATTTGTCCGGACTGCAAATGCAACGGGTTTTGTCTAAAGGGAAAGGAAAGGAAAAACATTAAGAGGTAAAGAAAAATAGAGCTCTTCCCTTCTTCCTCAAATACGAAACTACAATCAGAAACTGGTATAATTGTCATTTTCCCACTGTTTCTTTATCACAAACAGCTTGTTAGTATTCCCACTTGCATGAAATAGCTCTCAGCTACCGACCACCCATTTCTGAACTAGAAATAGGCCATTATTCTCTTTGAAAGCATGAGCAATAAAGGTGAGGAAGTATGAGCTTGCAGCACCTGGAAATCGGGAAACACAAACATAAATAGAATGCCCAGTTCTGTAGAAACCACCTCCCTTCACCAGACTTCTATCTACTTCAATTAATCATTAATGTTGCAGTGTTTGGGATGGAATAAAAAGGACTAAGGATTTATATTCAATGTCTTTAGCAGCAGTTATGCATGGCTACAGGGAATTATTATACCAATGACCTTTTATTTATTTTTTAGTCTTGAGTTAATTCAGCCACTAAGGATAATATTAATTAAGTCATCTCATTATCTGTTACCTGGAAAATTCACAGGTAAACATTTGCTCTTTGCTGTCAATAAATACCCACGAGAATAAATAGGCTCATCAATAGTGAAAAGTAGTGCTCTGACTGGCATTTGTATTTCACATTGTCGGCAATGAATGTCTTCTGAGCAGTTTCTCCTACTCCACCTGCTCTTCATCATGACCTGTTCCAAAGATGAAGGAATCGAAATAGAAGGTCCATCTTCACTGTCTCAGATAGTCCTCAGTTAAAGCTTTCTCCATGATTGTGCCTGCCTGTCTATCTGCGTCCCTTGCTAACTTGTGACTGGGGGCGGGGGGGAGGGGGGAGGGAATCAGACATAGGAGGTAGAAACAAACTTGTATAATTTTTTGCTGTACACTGTTCTGCATTAAGGTCAAGATTGTGTGTGTGTGTGTTTAATGACTGGGCCTATGTACCAAGGCTGGCCTGAAATGATCAGTGCTCGTGTGTGTGTGTTTAATGACTGGGCCTATGTACCAAAGCTGGCCTGAAATGATCAGTGCTCATGTGTGTGTGTGTGTGTGTGTGTATGTGTGTGTGTATATGCGTGTGTGTGTGTGTGTGTGTGTGATGACGGCCTATGTACCAAGGCTGGCCTGAAATGATCAGCGCTCTTGTGTTAGGCTCCCAAGTGCCCAGATTACAGTCCCACACCACCACATAGGGCCTTCAAGGTAACACAGAATCATTTCCTTTTATGAGTGTATATGCTACATAGCTTAAAAGTAATGGGTAAATTGACTTTGTTCTTTGGTTTCCTGTATTGCATGTAGAACAGACACTTCTTTTTTTGTCAGTTGTCCCTGAGCTCTTCAGCTCAAGGCTAGCACTCTACCACTTGAGCCACAGAGCCACGTCCTGTTTTCTGGTGGTTAATTGGTTATAAGAGTCTTATGGACTTTCCTGCCTGGGCTGGCTTTGAACTGCAATACTCAGATCTCAGCCTCTGGAGTAGCTAGGATTACAGGCATGAGCCTGGTTAGAACAGACATTTCTTATGCATACTGTCTTGTGAGTTAAAGTTGAACAGTCTCTCACTGATAACAGTAAGTACCCATTTGAAGGTGGGTGGCATGATAAGGTGTAAACACCAAGGCTACGCCTTGTTTACTACACTCTCTTTGACCTGTTTCTAATTCATATTTTTAGGAAGATAGGAATAAGTGATACAGATTGTCAGAATCTTGTATGTCCCCCTTCCAGGTCCTTCTTCATCATGTATATGACATGATTTATAGTGAAACTGCAAACCAGTAACTTTGGTAATGTCTACCAAGTGACAAGCAATATATTGGATATTGTACATGGATTGGTAAATTCATCCCAGCAACAATCATTTTATTCCAAATGACGAAACTGAGTCCATAAAATGTTCTCTTAGCTTATAAACAATGGAGGTGATATACACAAGAAGTTTTTTTACTCCAAAACCCAAGTCCTTTTGGTAATCTTACAGGCGTTTACTGGGAGGTTAAAGCTATGACTTAGTTGGTAGGTGCAATGAGTTAAATTGTCAGGTACCCTGGAACAAAGAGAAAAGAGCTACACTGATAGTAGTTTTAGGGGACTTAGATATTGGTATGAAATTCTGAAGATCTAGAAGTTGTATTTCATGACTTGCTTTAAAAAACCGGTTAGTAGAAAATGTGTATTAGGCCCAAGTCTGCCTTTTTGCCTCACTCTAAATGAGCAGTTCCACATGTTGAAACTATGGGTATTTATTCTAAATGTAACACACTTTTGCATTGTTGTACTTCAATCAATTTGAGATCTAATAAATCAGCAGCAATGTCAGATTGGGATCTTTGTTCCTTTGGGTATAACTTTTCTCTCTTCATCTCCTTTTCTTGCAAGCCATATAAATCATATTTCATACAGTTAGAACTGAGATGTTAAAATCCACATGATTTTGCAGTTCCTAAAATTGGCATAAGGATACTGGAGAACTTGTGAAAGACCAGAAGTACTGGAGCTCTTAAAAGTAGAGAGTAGAGAGCCAGGCAATATTCCTCACAAAAAAAGTGTCTTAAAGGTTGGCCTTAAGAATAACTTGAAGTTATTTCTGGACCTCTCACTGTAGCTTTATTTTGCAAGTTGGTTACTTTTTGGAGGATTCATCACCAACTCTTCCCATCCTGGAATAGCCCAGGATGCACCAAGGATGTCCTTTAGGAGCCCTTGGATTCCCTCAGGCTTGTTCACAAAGTTCATTTAGGTGTAGAGAGACTCAAGTCCAAATCCTACATTATACCTGGCTTCACCATCTTCCTTCCCACTTAGACTCTATTACTTACATTATCTGGCCAAAAGGCCCAAGATGACCTAGGTCATCTACAAAACTTTCATCTTTCGGACACTTTGGCTGATCCAGGCCCTGTAACCATATGGTCCTTAATTTCATATCCAGGGCAACTATTAGCTCATCAGAGGCCTATACAAGCCAATCAGGAAATGTGTTGGTTTGTAGCAAGAACAACTTTCATTTTCTCACAGCTTTCTACAATCACAAGGCCTAAGTCTACTTAAAAAAATTATGAGATAATTAACTTTAAAAATACCTTTGGTAATAAAGTATACTAAATAATCATAAATTATTGGTACTATATTTACTCTTAGGAAATAATTTTTTCTCCCTAAACAATTTAGTAAGTAAAATTTATTAAAAATGTACTAGTGTCAGAAGATCGTCGAGTAAAAAGCTGAAACTCATGAACAAAAACCCTTTGATCATGATTAGATGTTCATGCATCAATTTCTTCCTACACAGAAGCATTATGCTTTGCTAAATAGCAAACATACATTTCCATTTTCTTTATGATACAATCAATAGTGAATAACATGAAAATTAAACAGAAAATTAATATTTTCTGTTTAAGAACTGTAATGGATTAGTTTTAAATATTAACTACACCCAACTTGCAACCTTTTAAATAAAATTTAGGGGAAAATACAACCTCATTTCCTATAACAGACTAGAACAGAGAGATTAAAAATATCTAATCCATTTCCTTGATCCAGTAGTCTTGTGCTACACACCACTTTCTTATGAAATGTGATCTATTCTTTAGAAACTTGTAGTTTTCTATACAATAGTCATATAGTATTCTTTTAGACTCTGCTTATAGCACAATCTAAATCTGTCATTAGATTTATAAATAAGAGCAAGACACAGTAAAGAAACTATATATATATATATATATATATATATATATATATATATAACAGTTTCCAGAAATACAAAGAGCTTATAAGCATAAACTTTCTTAAGTTTATAAATATGTAATAAAATTGTTGTTAAAGAATAAGGGTAGCCATTGAGTCTTAGGGGAAGACTGAGTTGCTGAATAGAAATGAAAATAGTTATATGAATATAGGATTCAGACCACAGGTATCTGCCTTCTTTAGTATGGGATACTTTATGTACCAGTTATTCTTTGCTGGTTACTATTTCTCAGCATCACTACTTCATTGATAATCAAAAACCCTTCCAATACATATAGGTAAAATTCAATGTTATTACTTATAAATAGGGAAACATTTCTATGTTACTACAAAAAATAATAATCTCATCTTCTTCATCAGTGAAATTTCAAAAATCTTTGCTTAATTTATTATAAATTATCTAAGCCAGTTAGAATAGCAAAACATCATGCTACAGTGCTAAAAACAAGGGAATATGCATCTTGATGACCACTGAGTCAGACTAAATAATCCGAGTCACAGGCATGAAAATATACATAGGCATGACATGATCTTGTACTTAAATAACCCCATGGACTCCACTCCCAAGTTACTTGAACTGATCCAGAACTTTGACAAAATAGCAGGGTATAAAATTAACCCTCAAAAATCAATGGCTTTTCTATATGCCAATCATGAGAAGAGCATGGCTGAAAATAGGAAAGCAACAACCTCTGTAATAACCCCACAAAATAAAAAAAACGTAGGAATTAACTAAAGAAGTAAAGGACCTCTATAATGAAACTTTAAAAACCTGAAAAAGGAAATTAAAGCCGAATTAAGGAAGTGGAAAAACCTCCCATGCTCCTGGATTGGGAGGATTAACATCATGAAAATGACAATACTGCCAAAGGCTATCTACAAATGTGATAATCAATATCCTAACCTCATTCTTCAATGAAATAAAAGAAGCAGCCCAAAAACTTATATGGAACAATAAAAGACTCCAAATAGCAAAAACAATCCTTAGCAGAAAGAACAGTGCTGGAGGAATGTCAATACCAAATTTCAAACTCTAATGCAAAGCCATAGTAAACAGCCAGGTACTAGCACAAGAACAGACCTGAGGACCAATTGAATAGAACCGAAGAGCCAGAAATGAACCCACAGACCTATAGCAGCCTAATCTTCGATGAGGGAGCTAAAAAAAAAAAAAAATAAGAATGGAAGAAAGACAGCTTCTTCAGTAAATGGTGCTGGCAAAATTAGTGAAACACAAGTACAAAACAAAAGCTAGATCCCCATATATCACCTTGCACCACAATCAACTCCAAGTTGATCAAAGACCTTGAAGTCAAAGCAGACACCCTGAAAACATTACAGAAAAGAATAGGAGAAACTAGGGCTCCTTGGCACAGGCTGAAATTTTAATAGAGACCAAGATTGAACAAATGGGACTGCATGAAACTGCAGGGCTTCTGCATGATAGAGTATGATCAATAGAAAGCCCACAGATTGGGAGAACATCTTTACTAGCCATACATCAGACAAGGGTCTCAGATTTAAAATATACTTAGAACTCAAAAAATTGAATCCCCCAACAACAAATCCTCAATGAAATAACTGCCCAATTAATAAGTGGGCTAAAGACTTAAAGAAATACTTCTCTGAAGAAGAAATAAGAATGGCCGATAAACACATGAAGAAATGCTCAACTTCTCTAGCCATAAAAGAAATGCAAATCAAGACAACATTGAGATTCTACCTCACCCCAGTTAGAATGGCTATAATCAGGAAATCTAATAACAACAGAAGCTGGAGAGTATGTGGCCAAAAAGGAACCCTACTGCATTGTTGGTGGGAGTGTAAACTTGTTCAACCACTTTGGAAAGCAGTATGGAGATTCCTCAAAAGACTCGACATAGAGCTCCCCCGTGACACAGCAATCCCATTTTTGGGCATTTACCCAAATGATCACAAACAAGACCATACTAAAGATGCCAGCACAACTATGTTTATCGCAGCATTATTTACCACAGCTAGGATATGGAAACAACCCAAATGCCCCTCAGTAGACGAATGGATTAAGAAAATGTGGTACACACACACACACACACACACACTGGAATTCTATGCCACCATCAGAAAGAATGAATTTGCCGCATTTGTTAAGAAATAGAAAGACTTGGAAAAAGTTATATTAAGTGAAGTAAGCCAGGTCCAAATAAGTAATAAATGATTACGACAAGCAGAAATGGGCAAAAGCCATGTACATATGACCATATAAGGTGATGTTAAGCAAAATGAAGCCCAAGATAGGGACACAAGATTTTATCTTTGATTTGTTGTGTTTCTGGGTCTCTTAAGAAAACACAACAAATCAAAGAGAGGTTGGACAAATAGGATTGCATGAAATTGCAGAGCTTTTGCATGGCAAAGGACATAGCTAGCAAGATCAATAGCCCACGGACTGGGAGAAGATCTTCACTAACCATACAACAGACAAGGGTCTCATATCTAAAATATACCTGGAACTCAAAAAATTAAATCCCCAATAACAAATCCTCAAAGAAACAACTGCCCAATAAATAAGTGGGCTAAAGACTTAAAGAGAAGCTCCTCTGAAGAGGAAAGAAGGATGGCAAATAGACACCTGAAGAAATGTTCAACCTCTCTAGCCGTAAAAGAAATGTAAATCAAACAATACTGAGATACCACCTCACCCCAGTTAGAATAGCTATAGTCAAGAACTCTAACAACAACAGATGCTGGAGAGGATATGGACAGAAGGGAACCCTACTGCACTATTGGTGGGAGTGTAAATTTGTTCAGTCACTTTGGAAAGCAGTATGAAGGTTCCTCAAAAGACTCCACATAGAGCTCCTCTGTGACCCAGCAATCTCACTGTTGGGCATTTACCTAAATGATCACAATCAAGACCATACTAAAGTTACCAGTACAACCATTGCTAAGATATGAAACCAACCCAGATGCCCTCAGTAGATGAATGGATCAAGAAAATGTGGAATGGAATTCTATGCCTCCATCAGAAAGAATGACTTTGCCCCATTTGTTAGGAAATGGAAAGACTTGGAAAAAAATATATTAAGTGAAGTAAGCCAGGCCCAAAGAAACATCGGTCCCATGGTTTCCTTTATTTGCAATAACTAGTATATGTCTGAGACAAGCAGAAAGGGTCAGATAAGTTGATGTTAGGCAAAATGAACCCCAAGATAAGGACTCAAATGGTTTCTCTTTCTTGCTATCATTTCCTTCATATTTATAAGGTGATTTTTTTTTTGTTGCCTTGTATGTCCCTCCCCCACGGTATAATCCCTGTTTTCCCTGTATTTGATGTTGGTTATAATTTGTGGAGGGGAAGGGTAAAAACAAATGGTTTAAGTAGGAATACAGGTGGACCCATTGGAACAATGAAATATACAAGATGGTTTTTCGAAAATGGAACTTTACAACTTTGCTGCAGATGGGAGGGCGGGGATGGTAAGGGGAAACAGGGGAAACAAAGGAGGAGGCAACAATGCTTGATAAGAAATGTACTCATTACCTTGCTCATGTAATTGTGCAACCCCTCTGTACACTATTTTCACAATAAAAAACCTTATTAATAATAATTTTAAAAAGATTTTATCTTTGTTGCTCTTGTTTTTAATGTATTTATATGTACTATGCTATTTTTTTGTTTCTTTTGTATGTTCTTCCCCCATGGTATAACTCCCGTTTTCACTGTATTTGATTCCACTGCCCTAATCTTGTATATACATTTTTCTAATTTGGAGAGGGGAAGGGAAAAAACAAAATGCTGAAATAGGGATACAGGGTAACCCATTGTTAACAATGAGATGTACAAGTCACTATGTTGAAAAGAAACTACAACTTTGCCGGGGAGGGGGGGAGGGAGGAAGGAGGGGAGAGTGGAGGATGTAAGTGGGACAGAAAGGGATGGTAAGGGTAAAACAAAAGGGGATAACAATTCTGGGTAGGAAAAGTACTTATTATTTTACTCATGTAACTGTACCCCCTCTGTATAGTATCTTTATAATAAAAAATATATAAAATACACAGGCTTTTTTGTTTTTTGTTTGTTTTTGTTGGTCGTGGGGCTTGAACTCTGGGCCTGGGCGCTGTCCCTCGCTCTTCAGCTCAAGGCTAGCGCTCTACCACTTGAGCCACAACGCCACTTCTAGTTTTCTGGTGGTTTTTTGGAGATAAGAATCTCACAGATTTCCCTGCCTGGGCTGGCTTTGAACCGAGATCCTCAGATCTCAGCCTCCTGAGTAACTAGGATTACAG